TGTCGCGGTCCACTCGGATTTTCAACCCGGATGAGAGTGTAATTGTCAGAGCACCGTCGTATCTATTGGTCGCAAGTTCTGTCAGCATGATGAAGTGTATAGTTGACCTGAGGAGCTTGGAGGGCTGTACACAACTTGGGGATAGGGGGGCATACGGCTTTTGGTTGGGAAGATACTTCATGTTCCAGTAGTGATACCCGAGAGAGCGAGTCATGTTCTCGATAGTGTTGTCCGTATAGTCAAGAAAGTTATAGAAGTAAGGATCCAAAGGCATCCTCATCATCACCGGGAGCGTTGGGTTGATGCAGGTGGAGATGGCGCTCGACTTTGACGGAAAAATGCTGACGTCTGTACCATTGTCGAAATTCATGGTCAGATCCGTGACCGTCACCACGAGTTGTGACTTGCACTGAGCAATGTTGGGCGTCAGGGCCTGAGTGTATCGCTTCCCAGACACTTTTGCTCGGTCATAGCCTCCATATATAAGATGACCGTCCAGCTGAGAGGACATTCCAAAGCCGCGGCCCCAAAAGAGACTCCACGTTCGTGAGGCAATCTTGCCTGACTCTTTCAGGACCCTCAATATGGTAGAGTTTGATCCTAATCCGAGTCCCATCATGGCGTAATAGCCTTGAGTATCCCAATCGTTTAATGCGATGCCCATGGTCAGGTTATCGAGCGTAAGGTTGCTGTTTAGCTTCATCGTATCAACGACAGGGTTGATATCTGGCCACCCGTCATCTTCGGAGGTGACATCGTGTGATGTCGTTTTACTTGTCTTAAATGCGATTGAATCATAAGAACCTCTTCGAAAGGAAGTGCAGCCGTTCTTGGACTACTTGTCAGAGCCGCGGAGAGAACAAACACCGTTGGTGCCGTACAACAACGTGCCGTTTTGGCCACTGAGTTCAGATGTTCGTTAGCAATGTGCCACAGAGTCCGTAGAAAAAACAGAAGATGCTTAGGTTGAATACCTCTGCGGGATGAAAGCGAATTTCTGCTCGGGTTCCCCAACGGCTAGTTCTAGGCCTCTCGCTACCTGGCCGTTTGACAATGAAACATTGCCGAGTCGTATGGGAACAGGATATGGTGCACAAGCTGCCTGAATCAGTGTCGCGAGATATGCTGGCAGAATCAACAGGATGGCTAGCGAGCCATGAGCAGTCAGAGTTGAAGGCTCCATCGCCTACACGAGTCGCTGGTCGATCGTGGTAAACAAGCAGATCACAACTTGGCCTCCTTAGAGCTCTATCAAGCCAAGGTGGTGATGGCAAACAACAGGGAGAATAGTTCCTCCGCTGACTTCGGAAGAGTGCTGTGAATCCATCAAGTCTTTCGGAGACTCGAATTTGGTACAGGGGAGTGGCCGGGCTTATGTTGCGCTGCAGCCTGCCGTTCTTTCATTACAGCCTGCTTCTGAGGATCCTGGTTCAAGATTCGAACCCACAACTCTATGGCCCTTGTATAACTTCCAAATAGGTGACACTACAGTCGCCCGGCCATATTACATATACCTGCTCACTGCCCTTGTTTTACCTCCATCATTACCGTTAAACCTCTTAATGACATTTTTCAAGATTTCTATACCAGGGTAAATAGTACATGGTATATTTCTTCGTAGCAATATTACTTAGAGCGAGTATTGGTAGTGATGGTAATGATAGTGAAAAAGTTGGCGGATGTGCTGAACAGAGACTGCTGTCATCCTCATGGCTTCTCAGTAGTTCAGTGAGTACGTACTTCTTCAGCCAAAAACGATAAAAACCATCGCCAGGTTTTCTGCCATATCCGCCTGATAATCCTGGTCAGCGACAACGAGCTGCTACCAACAGCAACTCGAACTGATCTACTATTGGCCTGCGCCGCCCATGAGCTGGGTACTGACACTCTCTCATCACATCCTCTCATACAGATCCTGGTCAGATTTGGCGGGATGCTACTCTGTACCAACAACACCCTAAAGCTAATAAACCATTGGTCTGTGCCCCAAAATAAATGGGTCTATTGGACGTTGGCAAAATGATAGATGACCGAGGCGACTCGGACCCGACAAAGCCCGAGTCACCGCACCATATCTCCTTGGACAAGAATCTTGAGTTCTGGCGAGAACACTGGATCATACGGACTCGGGAGTAGGAGTTCTCTGGGAAAAGCGCCACGTTAGGAGTAGAATGGTTGGCTGGTTGGTTTGTCCGGTGATACAACGGAAGCGCCCCACTTTCGCCGTTGGATAGGCCGACGACGACCCGTATGAGAGTGTTGTGATGGGACAGTTTGCCGCCAAAGAGGCCAGCCATGTGCCAACTTACCTTCTGCGGGCGGTAAATGGTCCAACACAACTCATATCCGTATCCGGAGGCCATCCTGCCTAAGCCTTGTGAGACCTCATGGTCCCCTGCAGGAGACCGGGGGTCCGGGTACCTTCTCCGTCCAACAGAAAGTTATCAGCGGCTAAGTACATGGGGGAAACTGCTGGGAGATGCACATGGGTGGAGAGAAAACAAATTATACACACTGTCTTCCAACAGCTGGTAGGCCGCGCGGATAGAGCGCACCTTTCTTGTCGTCCGCCCACCCCTGAGCCTTTGTTGGTCAGGCACGCAGCATGTTGGTGGTTATTCCGAACGGGGCTCAGGCTGCCTTCCTTGCACACAAGAACTGAACCCATCCTCCAGCCTTGTTCGTTTGCCTGCTTGGTTTGTCTATAGAGAAGGGAGCAAGTTTATCAGCCATTCTCTCCTCCCCACCGGCGGGACTCACGTCACGTTTTCCCTCTTCCCGACCTCCTTTTGATTTATCATGCCCGGTATCAAGTATCAACCAAACAACTTTCGGTGCTCGGCTTCCTATGGGTTCTCCGTATGTCTGCTCACTATGCGTTCGCGTCTACTACCGAAGAGCAAGCGGGCCGGGGCTGCGGCGCTGCTTATAATGATCCTTCTTCACCTTCTTGTATCGTCGTCGCAGTCTACACAAACTGGCGAGAGGCTGTCGTTTCTCCACAACCCATTCCACCCCACACCACGGCCGCCGAAGCAAGAGGTTCCGACTTCTCTACCGGAACTCGCGACTTTGAGCAAGCCGGACCTGCCAGAGTCGGAGTTCTGCGCCAAACGCTTCGGCCCTCGATATCTGAACGAATTCCGCGATCAAAGGATTCAATACTGTGCAGCAGAGTCAAGCGCAAACCTGACATGTTTCCACAGTCATACGCAATCCAACGACAACCGCGACTCGTTTTGTATTGGCCAGGGCGCCGTACTGGACCGCGAAAGCGGTAAATTTCATGTGGACTGCGATGTGCGACATCCTACCAGCAATGAAACATCAAATGGTATCATTCCTTTCTCGAGTATCAGAAACTACTGGTACGATACCGGTCCGGGTTTCCTATTCCAGAACTTCGTCAACGTCAAAGCTGGGGCATTACCATCCTTGGTCACGCAGGCGCCAAGCTCCCACGATAGCCGTCCGTTCACAATTCTCGTGAAGAGGGAAGGCCACTCCAACATCTGGCACTCTCTCATGGAGATATGGTCAATGGTCATGTCCCTCGACGTCTTGCGGCTCAGTCACGACGGCGGCGGTCTCAACAAGCCTTTCTTCACTATCCCCGGGGACGTCCCACGAACCCAAGTAGTCTTCCTGGACAACCAAGAAGAAGGGCCTCTATACCCCTTATGGAGTATGTTTGCAGGTCGTGAGCCACTTCGCCTCAGCAAGGTCTTGGAAGACCCAGCGCAAGCTCAAGCCCTCGCCGAGACGCCTCAGAACGTCATCATTCCCCTCGCCGGAGGGAGCAATCCTCTGTGGCAGAACGACTGGGAGGATAGAGACTGCAAGGATGCGCCGCTACTAAAGGTCTTTACAAGACGAGTGATGCAGCAATTTGGCGTCGAATTCGAGATGGGGCGGCGGCAAGGCAAACCACTCAACGTCACCCTCATTGATCGACGGGGCTCTCGCAAGCTCCTGAATCAGGACTTCCTACTAGATGCAGCACGGGAAGCGTTCCCCGACGCCAACTTTCAGGCAATCGACTTGGGAGCGGTGACCTTCCCCGAGCAGCTTCGAATTGTACAGTCCACCGATATCCTGGTAGGCATTCACGGCGCGGGACTGACGCACACAATGTTTCTCCGGGAGAACGGCGCCGCGGTTATTGAGATACAACCGTCGAGCATGTCCCACAAGGGATTCAGGAATGTGGCGCAGATGTTGGGCCACAAGTACTTTAGCACCCACGCCGAGATGGTGGGACATGAGGAGGATGATAAGGGCAGGAGGAGAGGTCTTGTCCGACGAGACCGGTGGCACTGGGCCGATATCCGGATTGAGGAGAGCGCCTTTCTGGAGTTGATTGGACAAGCTGTGGAGGCCATGAGAGATTAGTGTATTGATACCCGTAGACAAGAATTTACATTTGCTAGACATTTCAGAACGTCATCCAAGATGTTGATCGAGGCGTTGCTGAATTTGCGAATTTTGGTGCGTGGCCTGGGTTCACCTCGCTTCATACTCAAAACATGTGGCGTATAGCAATTTCAAATAAAGGTTGTTTCTCAATTCATTTTCATTGAAGTAGAGCATCGTTGCCTCGTGGTTATCTCCTGGGAATGGCGAGTACCGACTTGTAGCTTGAGCTTCGACAAGCTTCTTTCAGCGTAATGAAATGGGAGGAACTCATTATCGTTTCTGAGAGACTGTACCTGGTTATAGATTTGAGAATACGAAGAGCTGCAATTCTTTTTGCACGCAAGTGTTGCGAAGACAAGTGCCTGACGAGGACGATGTCGACCAATCTATCATCATGGCCCTTCAAAATCTAGATCATGGCATAGATAGGAAGATCAAATTCGAACGAATGACGTCAAGCAATGAAATTTACGATAGCGCCGCTCAAAACTCACTCTGGGCGACATCAAGATGCTGCCGAATGATCAGACGTGGTGTTGAAGTTGGCTTCCCCGCACTCCATTGGTCGCAGCCGCCGTTAACAGTCTTTTCATGGTGGGGGTTGCCGCCGTAGTCGATTCCCCCACTATCCAACCCCTCCAGTCCAAATTTCATCGTCCGCATCACGCCCGACACCACCCCGCAGCTACTTCAAGATGGGCAAGAACGACAAGAAGCCGGCCGACAAGAAGGACGGGGGCAAGTCTGCCGGAGGAAAGAAGGGCGCCAAGGGTGAAAGCGATGACAAGGGCGGCAAGGCGGCCAAGGGCGCGCAGTCCATCAATGTCCGGCACATCTTGGTGAGCCTCATCTTTTCTAGCCGTGGGATTTCTCAAGACTTTAGAAGCTGACAAGAAAACAATAGTGCGAGAAGCATGCAAAGAAGGAGGAGGCATTGGCTAAGCTGAGAGACGGAAATAAGTTTGATGAGGTGGCGAGAGAGTTCTCCGAGGACAAGGCGAGGCAAGGTGAGTGATGCCCATCATGAGCAGCTTCATCGAGGGCGAGGGCCCATGCTGATTGGTTCGCAGGTGGTGCTCTGGGCTGGAAGACAAAGGGTAGCCTGGACTCAAAGTTCGAGGACGTTGCGTTTGCTCTGAGCGCCAGTACAACGGCGAGCCCCGTCTACGGAGAGGCCAAGACGGAATTTGGATACCACATCATCATGGTAGGACTCAGTTACACCACAGCTCAAGCCAGGCTTGCACTGACTCGCGCACACAGGTTGAAGGCAGGAAATAGGCAGACCCCGCTACGATCTCATCACACGCCTCACAATACCAATATTGCACACATTATGTTTGGTTCAAGAGTGCCCAATGCCGTTTCTCTTTATTTGTCCTTGATGCATGTTGACCTGACCTCCAGAGGGAGTCCTCCATTTTTTGTTTCGAGATGCCAGCTGAAGAAGCTAGAGTACAACCGAAAGATCGTTCATAGCGACGGTTCCAGATTTCCCCGCCACCCCTCTAAAAATCCTTCTCCCCATAGTGACGCCCAAATTCAAATCATGAAGTCATACCCAAATTTACTGCTCGGTCTGGAAGTAGTTGAGGAGGATGGAGCGCTCCTGGGACTCTTCACCCCAGTCCTTGACGACGACGCAAGAGCAGTTGACGACCTTGCGGGCGTTACCCTCACGGTCCAACACGCCTGTGGATCTGCATTAGCTATTGTTCGTCTTTCGATACGGATGCATGACAGCCTATGCCGCAGGTGTACTCACAGAGACCAGCCCACTCGCCGAGCTGCTTTCCGTCGGGCACCTTGATCAGGGGGATCTTGTGCTCGGAGCAGAGAGCGATGACAAGCTTCTTGTAGGCCTCCTCCTCGCAAGCCTCGTTGAGGACGCACATGTGGGCCTGGCGGCGGTCGAGGGCCTTGGAAGCCTCACGGAGACCGCGGGCAAGACCGTCGTGCATGAGGGCGAGCTTCAGGACACCCTTGAGGGCGTCAAGAACGGACATCTGGCCCTTGGAGCCGGCATCGGCGGAAACCTCGACCTCCTCGGCCACCTCGGGGGCGTTGTTCTCTTCTACGTCCGACTGTACAAGATGCGTAAAGGCACTGGTTAGCCAAAGTGTCTTCCTCCGAGGTTCAAGTCGACATAGTCGTCGTTCCAACAGAGTGGGATGGGCCCAATTGGCCTGCGCGCACGCGACAACTTCCAAGCACCCGGGTAATCCCAATTGAAGGCATTCGCAGGTAGCCGGGAAGCGTCCGTCATTCGATAGAGGCCATGTTGGGGAGGGGTTCTCGGTGCGAACTCACCATCTTGAAAGTTGTTGGTCAAGTTCCTGTCGGTTCGATCCTCGAAGAGTTATGTTGTGTTGTAAATTGGGTAGTGTATGAATAAAGTGAACTTTTGGCGTGATGCGAGGGCACAAGCAGAAAATGCGCTGAAAGATCATTCGTGGAAGGGTCACTTCGCCCGTGCCCTTTCGAGGGTTAGAAATTGTGGGTGGTCCGTGCACCCACAAGCGACCAATTTTTTTCGTGGCCGTGTGGGGATTTCTCCCACAGCCTTTTGGACTTTTCCGCGCCCCCCGTCTTCCATCACGATTTTCTCACCGACAAACTTGCCAATCAACCCCTTCAGCGGCACCGTTCAATCTACGAGGTAAGTCGAAACAAGGCATAAATCACCTTGTTCGCGCCCATGATGGCGACTTGATTCAACAGGAACTTCTTGCCTTTTCCTTGATGCCGGAGGAGAGCAATCAGACGAGTCGTGCGATTTACGAGATACCGATTTTATTTTATTTCGACCTCCATCTTCGCCTTGACGGACGATGCGGTAGCCCCCCTTGGCTGGTGGCTACCCGACGCCGAACGACAATGACATCTGATACGCTCTCCTCTTCAGCAACGAGCTGGCAGAACCCTCCTGTCGGTCGATTGTCGCCTGGGAGGGCACTCTCCACGCTCAACAGGCCATTGGAAGGCTAACATGCAATTTTCTTCGCTGGCAGATACCTCATTTCCCGAGACTTGAGAATCTCCGCATACATCAACCGCCAAGATGGTCCGCACTTCCGTTCTCCACGATGCTCTCAAAAGCATGAACAACGCCGAGAAGGCCGGCAAGCGCCAGGTGCTCATCCGCCCCAGCTCCAAGGTCATCGTCAAGTTCCTCCAGGTCATGCAGCGTCACGGTATGTCAACACAACACAATCTTCTTTCTTCTTTCTCTTCTTCAACTCGGAGGACATTTTTGGATGGATGGATGTACATTCGGCATGATAACTAGGGCGACCGTCTTTTATTCCCACGACTCAGCCCCTATAAGATGCCGATAGATAAATAGCGGAGGTCTTACAACTTTTTCGGATTTTTTCTCCTGATGTCTAAGCTTTAAACCACCGCGACACCATCGCTAAACAGCAACAATACAGGTTACATCTCTAGCTTCGAGGAGGTCGACGACCACCGCTCCGGCAAGATCGTTGTCCAGCTCAACGGCCGCCTCAACAAGTGCGGTGTCATCTCCCCCCGCTACAACGTCCGTCTCTCCGACCTCGAGAAGTGGGTTGTCAAGCTGCTCCCTGCCCGCCAGTTCGGCTACGTCATCCTCACCACCTCTGCTGGTATCATGGACCACGAGGAGGCCCGTCGCAAGCACGTTGCCGGCAAGGTCATCGGCTTCTTCTACTAAGCGTTGGGAAATCCAAAAGTTTTGATGGAAGAATAAAAAAAACAAGGGGCGTGGGACATTTGGCGTTTGGGGGAACAACTTGGGTTAGCCATGGCCGATACCAGAGGATGCCATTGAGCTAGGATCTCATTTACACCAAAAGCAATGAACTTCAACCAAGACCCCACCAATACGAGCCAGTTCTCATGTGTCCATCCAAAGTGTGCAATGTATGCTATGCGAGTGATGTCAAGGCTGAATTACTCATGGCCGTCTTTTTCCGCGAGAGGATATCTGCATATAGCAGTGTTTTGCTGCGCTTCTCAACCCTGGGCTCTGAAAGCTTGAGAAGCTGGACTATCATGATGCCTTCATGACAGTGCACAGTAGCTCAAGTATGGCGAGTTAATATAGCTACATTTATGTCACAAGAGTTTATCCCGTGAAATTTTGATTGCGAAAAAGGGAAAGTCCGAACAGAACCGTGTTCCCTCTTATTCTGAATCGTCCGCGTGAGGCTTTGCGAAGAACAGTTGAAGCTAGAAGAAAAGAATGTGAGACAAATGGCTTGCTGTTCCGGAGCCCGGCTTGGGCTCAGTGTGAGATCGATCTGCTGGACTCCCTCGACTAATGCAACTGTGTCGACTACTTTTGGTCCCCGTAACAACAATTAAGGGGCACGGGAGAGGGCCTTGCAGCTCTTGGTTGATTCTCCATGATTTGAAATCACCTTGCAGATTCCATTATAATTGACAGATACAAGATCCACAGGCCTCGGGAATCCGGCCGTCGGTTCGGTAGAGAAATGGAGCAGGCTCCTCCCGAAGAACACGAAGCGAACCGGCCTTGTGGGAATCGTGGCTCAACGGCTGCTCAACGGTAGTACAGTGTACCTCCCTACCTGTTCAACCTGTCACTGACCTGGTGAATTGCTTTCTCGGTGTGTTTTGGAAACGGCTGGGGACCTGGCTTTTTCGGAATATGCATCTAGCTGCAACGCTGCGAAGATCACGTTGTTTCTCTTTCACGAAAGAAGCAAAACTTATGTTGCAGGGCCTCATACCACCATTGAACTCGGTGAGTGTGTAAAAGCCTCACACAAGCCGACTGAATCTTTGAATGTTTAACTTTCGCCATGCTTATGAGGATAGCATGTAAGGCTATAAAGCATGATGCATGAGGAACACAGCACGCACGCAATGTGGATACGTGCAGTGTGAAAAGGTCAGGTCAATTTCAGATAACTCAATGCTATCAGCGGCGAATTGTGGAAAGACTGATGCAGAACGAGATGACAGCAAAGCCAACTGCCCAACAGGGTACCGAGACATCTCACATCCCACAGTGATTGGCAGGTCAGAATGGGCCCTTACAACGTGTCGTCAGACGAGGAAGCTCTGAGCGAAATGAGAGATATAGTCAATAAGAGAAGGTGTTACCGTCGGCGTGCCATGTTACGTGCTTTTTGGAGCCCCCAGCAACACACACCCCGGCTCCGAGCCGGACATACCTCCGGATAGCCTGCAGCGGCTCCCCTGTATCCGGACAGGGCAGGTTTCAAGGATTTGTCTTTTCGTCCAGACCTTTGGACTTTGTATTCTTCTTTCTGCCCTAATTTCGTAAACCATGAAAATGCCATGCTACCTAAAACCCGATTTCCCGATTATTGGACGGAGAGCTTTCCCTCATGATGAACAGATGACGGAGAGCGGACGGGGGACCTCGGGATTTGCTCCGGGAGGATTTCTGCTCCATCAGCAACAAATTATGGGTTTAGAACTTCGGACTGTACACAAGCCTTGAGAGATGACTGATTTACTTCCTTTGGTCGCACAAAGCAACCCGTGAGGGCCTCCTCCCGTGTCTGATCTTCCCGCACTCGCTTCCGCCTCGCCGACAAGTGCCGAATCGTCTCGTGTTCTTGTGGCAGCAAAAAGGGTCCTGGAAAGTCATCATCTCATTTCTCCCCGAGATGAAATGGAGAAAAGAGGAAAGCTCCATGCGAAAGAATGTACGTTTCTGGTGCACATTGAGCCTGTCCGCCTGCATCAGACCCCAGGTGAATGAGCCTCAAGCCCGGAAACTCGCAGAACTCACCTTACTCGCTGGGAAGGTGAAGAGAAAGATGCAATTGAGAGACATATCATGGCGGGCTGCGCTGTAACCCACTAACCCACCCCCCCATGTCGACCGACCTCGCTTGGCGACTGAGGTGATTTGTATTACAGAGGCGTGGGAGGCTGCTGGTGGTGTTTCTTCCCGGGTGATCAGCGAAGCACGGCCCCACGCGAGGACCCGCCCGATGACGATGATGGCTCGGCATTCTCGAACCTCACACTCACACTCACACCTCAACCTCAACCTCGTCCTCACACACAGCTCTCTGCCTTTTTCCCTCTTCCATCCCAGCGCCGGGGACTCGTGCTACATCCGGATGAGCTACTTTTGGTCCCACCCGCCGGTCTCTCATGCTCTAGAAATCGGGGAGAAATGCCACGGATACGCAAAGCCCTTTTTCCGTCACAACCGAACCTCTTCTCTAGACTGCAGGACAAAGACTTTGTTTCGACATGGGTGTCCGGAGCTACTGTAGGTAGTTCATCTCAACAACAACAAACCCTGGTCTATCAATTCAAATTGAACCTGCCCGCCGCAGCTGTCGTCATAGATGAGATGAAAGTGGACTTGCAAACAGTGACTCTTTTTTACCCCCCGCCGCGGAGTTCTCTTTCTTGTCACTCTTTCCCGGTTCCTCTGGCTCACCTATCCCCCTGGCACCCGAGCTATTTTCGACGTTCGGCTTTCGTCTCTACAACGTCGCACAAGAATCACCACAACATGGATGGTTTCTCGTTTCCATTGTACAAGGCTACAGAGCCAAGATGGCTATTAGAAGAGACGAACGACCAACCCTTTAATGAAGCACGGGCTTGCACAGACTTGGGATGATGGCATCCACCGCCCGCCCAAGTGGCTTTTTTGCTGCGATCTTCCGCAAGCCACATCTACTTTTCCCGCCCGGGGTTCCTTCGCTAGTGATATTGGAGCCCACGCCGCCGCCCCCAACTGCCGTGCCGTTCCTCGCCAACCACGTTTGTTTCCATGAGCCGTTTGTGCACCATCGAGCTCTGGCCCTCTTTGGATCACCCCCTTGGCCCATGTCGTCTAGATGTAACCTTGTTTCGTAAGGTGTCAGCACGTGGGAGAAGAAAGAAAAGAAAGGAAGAAAAAACACAGCGGGGCACTCTAAGCGGAGGAAACGGCGCTCAATGTCGAGGTTTTTTATTCCCCTTTCTCCTTCTCTGGAGGCTGTGTTTCCAGTGAACAATACTGCTCGGCCCCCACTGTACGAGAAAAAGAAACTCATCGTTTGAGAGAGAGAAGAGCCCCGCGGGAGAGAGCGTTCCTAATTGTCTTAGCCAGCAGCGTGGCTGGCTCTTGTTGCCCATCTAGTGGTACGGTATGCCGTCGACGTTTTGCGGGCTCGGCCGTGAGACACAAATGCAGGCCAAGGCAAGCTACCAACACACGACATCAGAGCTCCCGGGACCGTGGGCGCTTCTCCGTTGAATCACACCAGAGGATTTCTAATCTGACAGCGCTCGTTGCGAGCCCCTCCTCTTCTCTTCACTGTGGCCCCTCTCTTTAGTGTAGTGGAGCAAGTACCTGAGATGATTATGATGCTATCACTCCTCATCCTACCTGACGTCCCGGCACACCTATTTGAAAGAGGCAGCAGCGCATTGTGCTCATACTCCTCCTGCTGCTGCTGCTCGGGATGTGGATGTGGATTTGTTCTGGGCAAGCGTTACTAGTCTACTTTCCCCGGTCCGTTCTGAAAAAAGACATGCTCTCCTGCCATGGTTACCTTCATGTGTCCAGGATTAGCAGGAGCAGTAGCTAATCCTTGAAGCTTGTGCGCCTACCAATGGTCTTTCTCCTCCCAGATCGGGATTTTCTTGTTGACTTCATCGAGCTCTCTGCCTTCCCCTTGCTGCTGTTATTCTGTAGGAATACATCGGTAGCCCAGACAAAGCTCCGCCTGTCAACCCGAGCCTCTGGAGCTCTTAAGTAGCCTCCCATCCCTCGGCACTGTTGACTTTTCCCCAACGGCTATCCCTTTTCTTTAACCCTCCGAGACCAGGAAGAGCTTGTCTAGCCTACTCAATCTTTCATCATCGACCGAGGAGACATTTCATGCAGGCATACAGACATTCTTCTGGTCGCTAGCCCAACATGCATACCACCCTCTTGCTGGCCAGTCTCGGCCTGGCTACCCTCTCTTCTGCCGGCTGTCCCTTTGCAGACCCCTCTAATATCAAAGCTCGAACCGAAGACGGCTCTCGCGGCCATATTTCCGGCTACGAGATCGACGACTCTACGGGCGATCCATACCTCACATCCGACGTCGGCGGCCCAATCGAGGACCAAGTCAGCTTGAAGGCCGGCGTGCGTGGCTCGACCCTGCTCGAGGATTTCATCTTTCGCCAAAAGATTACACATTTCGACCACGAGAGGGTGGGTCCCATGTCTATCCAGCTCCAATTGGTATCTCCTGACTGATCATTCCTGTTTAGGTACCCGAACGGGCTGTTCACGCCCGCGGCGCCGGTGCCTACGGAACCTTTACGAGCTATGGCGACTACAGCAACCTCACGGCCGCTTCCTTCTTGGGCGCGACGGGAAAGCAGACATCGACGTTTGTGCGGTTCTCCACCGTTGCTGGGTCAAGAGGAAGTGCGGACACTGCCAGAGATGTCCATGGCTTCGCCACTCGGTTCTTCACCGACGAGGGCAACTTTGATATTGTGGGAAACAATATTCCGGTGTTCTTCATCCAAGACGCGATTCAGGTACGTTAGTCATATCTTCCAAGCGAGCTCCATCACGGACTGAACTCGAGAACGTTTGATTCTGCAACGAGCACCATGAGCTAACTTTGGCTAGTTCCCAGACTTGATTCATGCAGTGTAAGACTTGCTGTACTCCTTGCTTACATGTAACGTCTAGAATACTGACACCACGACTCTCACAGAAAACCTCGCGGGGACAATGAGATTCCGCAAGCTGCGACAGCTCATGATTCTGCATGGGACTTCTTCAGCTCTCAAACGACAACTCTTCACACCTTGTTCTGGGCTATGGCTGGCTACGGTATCCCGAGAAGTTACCGACACATGGTGAGTATAGCTGCAGTTTATTGTCGTCAAATATTGACCAACGCTCCTAGGATGGCTTCGGTGTGCACACTTTCCGCGCGGTCACGGATGACGGCAAGTCAAAGCTTATCAAGTGGCACTGGAAGACACAACAGGGCAAGGCCAGCTTGGTCTGGGAGGAAGCGCAGATCGTTTCGGGCAAGAACGCCGACTATCACCGCCAGGACCTCTGGGATGCGATTGAATCTGGAAACGGACCTGAGTGGGAGCTTTGCGTACAGGTTGTCGACGAGGAGGATACCCTAAAGTTTGGATTTGACCTCTTGGACCCAACAAAGATCATTCCCGAGGAGATTGCGCCCCTCCAAAAGCTCGGCAAGATGAAGCTGGATGCCAACCCGGTCAACTACTTTGCCGAGACCGAACAGATCATGGTGAGTGCCTCAATAGGACTGTCCGAGCACAGCTAACTCGTCTCAGTTCCAACCCGGACACATTGTCAGAGGCATCGACTTCACAGAGGACCCTCTCCTGCAGGGCCGCATCTTTTCCTATCTCGATACTCAGATCAACCGCCACGGCGGTCCCAACTTTGAACAGCTACCGATCAACCGTCCAATCGGCCCCATTCACAACAACAACCGGGACGGTGCTGGCCAAAACTTCATCCACCGCAACCGCAACTCCTGTAAGTGATCTAGCCATGTTTATCGACTCTCTGACTAATTGAAATGTCAGACACCCCGAACACTCTCAACAAGGGCTTCCCAAAGCAAGCCAACCAGACTCAGGGCAACGGCTTCTTCACCGCACCTGGCCGCACCAACAATGGCCACCTGGTCCGCGAAATCTCCGACAGCTTCTCGGATCACTGGTCTCAGCCGCGTCTCTTCTACAACTCCCTGACCCCTATCGAGCAGCAGTTCCTCATCAACGCCATTCGTTTTGAAACCAGCCACCTTGAATCCACCGAGGTCAAGCAAAACGTTCTCACACAGCTGAACAAGATCAGCAACGACATTGCCAACCGTGTCGCCGATGCACTAGGCATGGAACATCTGCAGCCCGATGCGCAGTACTACCACAACAAGACTACTCAGGGGCTATCCATATTTGGAAACAAGCTGCCCTCGATCGCGACTCTGAAGGTCGGTGTCCTTGCCAGCCTATCAGCTAATGGCTCCGTAAGCCAAGGCAAGGAGTTGAAGGATGCTTTCGCCGCTGACGGTGTCTTGGTGACTGTCATCGCCGAGAAGCTGACTGACGGCGTCGACATGACTTACGCCCAGGCTGATGCCACGTCATTCGACGGTGTCATTGTGGCCCGTAATGCTGACGGTCTCTTTAATGGCAACATCAAGCCGTCTCCGTTGTATCCAGCCGGTAGGCCTGCACAGCTTGTCATCGACTCTTACAGGTGGGGAAAGCCGGTGGGCAGCGTTAGTTCGGCTCTCACCAAGTCGGCAACGCTGGGTGTCAAGGCTGGCGAGGGCGTGTACTCTGCTGCAGATGTTAACACTGTCGTGAACAGCTTCAAGGAGGGCTTGGCGACATTTAGATTCACTGGCCGTTTCGCAACGGACTAGGACTGCGTTGTGTCAGCGCGATGATTTTATTCTTGTCTATAGTTTTAAGCCCACTGGCTTATCCGGGCTGCGGCAAAGTAAGGCTTCTTAGATATCAATACGACATGATTACTCCCACGTTCTGTGGCTCAGCGTATAGGTCTTTGAGGATAGACACGTTAAGGAGGAAACGTATGTTCCAGTGACAAGCGCTGCATAGTTGCGGAGGCACTGGTCAATCTCTGCGCAGTTGCCAGACGGCAAACGGCAACGCCCTACGTCCATGGGAAACATTATGCTCTTGCTCGTCATGCATTATCATTATTCGTAAGGTAGTGGTACAGGTAGACTAGGTAGTACAGGGTATCTCTGCGAATCATCCTGGAAAGTGTGTCCCTTTCGGACCGCCAATTTTCGTCTCTTCTTTTTCCCTTTTTCCTCCTCCTGTTGTCACATCCCCCGTCTGGCCACACATTCAGACAGACATGATCAACCCCAGCCCGCAGCCCTCCTGTCCCAGCGAGGCCTTGAACTCGCTCGCGCGCCGCCAGTGCTCGCGATCGATGCGTTCCTCCTCCTTGCGCATCTTGAAGTCGAGAAGGCCGTCGTCGCCCTTGCGCTGGCGCACCATCTCGGCCTCGACCTTCTTAAAGGCGTGCCAGTCATCCAGCTGGGAGGGTAAGGGCACCTGCTGCACCTCGTCGAGGCTCTTTTGGCCGTCAACGCGTTCGAGGAGGAGCTCGAGGCGGTACTTGTCCGTGGCGGCGTCGAGCTTGTTGCCGTACTGGCGGATCGTGTACAGACCGTCGTAGCGCACGCCGGCTTGGGGCGCGAGCGTGCTCTTGAGGCGGTAGCCCCGGAGGATGCGGATCTGGGTGCCGACGCGGGTGAGGAGGGAGACGTGCATGTCGGAGAGCCGGCCCTCGCGGACGTAGCGGTAGAGGTTGCCGCGGATGTGCTCCTCGCGTCCGGTGAGGAGGGGCAGGGCGGTGACGCCGTATTTTCCCTTTGTGGGCTTCTCGACGGCTGTGCCGATGACGCCGTCGCGGTGGGCGCAGGCGAGGTCCAGCCACCAGCTATTTGCAGTGTTAGCAAAGGATGTCAAAAAGTTGTAGGAGTGGAAGAACTTACTGGCCGGGCTCGAACTGCTGGTTTCCCTCCAGTTCCGAGATGGGGTCGCGGCAGCTGTTGCTGACGGCCCAGGACTCGAGGGGGTCCATGCCGGACGCGGTGAAGTGGATGTCGCGCATCTCGCCGCCGATGGACAGGCTGCGCTGGCGGACCTGGTCGAGGGAGAAGTACTGGTCGCGGAAGCGGGCGCGCCACATCTTTTGCAGGCTCTCGCACAGCGCCATGTCGGCGCGGAAGCGGAGCGGGAGCGGGAGCGGTTGGTGAGCCGGATCGAGGACGTCGGCGAGGAGCTTGTCGAGGCGGGCGTACTGGAGGGTTTCAAAGTCGAGGGATTGGGTGTGGTTCAGCTCGTCCTTGAGGGCCCTCTCCAGGAGGCTTTGGATCCTGTCCGCATAGGGGCCGAGGCTCTTTGAGTGGCGGAGGGAAGTCCGTACTGAGTCGCAGAGTTCGAGGAGCTGTTCCTTTGTGGGCAGCGGCTCTGCAGCTGGAGTCGATGGAGAATCACCTGAATTTGGTGTTAGAGTACCGTGGGAAAACGTCTGTTGCTCGGTCGGTTGAGTTCATGCTAACCTGATCCAGGGTATCTCATAAAGTATGTCTCTGTTGTTCCGTCCATCTGGAATGGCGAACGGCAAGGCCTAGTCATGATTTGAGTGGGAGACATGGTAGAAGAAGTTGAGAGAACCAGTCTTTCAAGTGGGAGAAGTCGCTATGTGGTATTTTTCAGAGTCGGAAGTGGCATCTACACGTTGCAAGATCTCTGATTCGTTTCGCCAATGTCTCCGGGACTAGCGGCTGAGCTTTGTGTTCGTTGGGCGTTGGCTCCTCGGTGTTCGTTTGAGTGCGTGTTTTGCAAATGAAACTTACACGACGAGGGAAACGAAGAAGGACTTATATGAAGATGAGGAGACGAGGAGATGAGGACGATGGCTTGGAAGGGAGCATGGTATCCGAGCTAGCCAAGATGTGCACCCCTGGACCAGCGGAACCCAGGGGTGTAAGGTACGATACTAGCTGAAAGTACCAGGTAAGGCAGGAGATGGATGGCCGGAACTAGACACGGGGTGGGGTTTCCCCGTAAGACACAACGTGCAGAAAGGGGGAAAGTTTTGTCCCGTTGGAACCATTCGACTGGGAAGAGTCAAGGTTCCGAGGAGGAAGGGCGATGAGTTCATCGCGCCTCTCAGGCGGTGGCGTGCGCTACCGAGTATTTGGTTTAGGTCGGCGATCGGAGGTGATGGATTCCTGGCACCCATACCGAGAGCGAGCTGGCCTTCTTGGGAACCTTCTTGCGGAAATAGCTGCCTACAAGGTAAGTAGGCTAGCTGCTAGGGGCCGCCAAGCCGGGCGATCGGTGGCAGAGGAATCTGTCAGCTCAAGTTGCTTGGGAAGGACGAGCCAGTCTGACGGAGAGGGGCGATTAGCATGATGCGGAAGGCGCCCCGGAGGCTGCAGACATTCCAGACTTGTGGCAGTGGTGGACGACGACCGAATCTCAAAGTAGGCAAAGTCGAAGTGGACGTAGAGTGGATGGCAGGTGAGAATTGCGGCACGGAATGGTGGCATCGGGCGACTCGGGCAAGAATAATGCCCGTCAACCAATGACATGTCGACGTGGGCGTAAAAATTCTTTAGTGATTTATACCAAGTCCGGCGATGTTTCAAGACATTCTGTTACAGATCAAATCCGTCAACCGTCTGAATGGCATAGTGCCGACGGGACCCAGGCTGTCGGCGTCTCGTTGAGCCATGTGGCATCCGTCCGGAATTGTCGTAGCCGCTTCCGGCCGGCGTTTTTCTCGGCAGTGGTTAACCTCTTCCGGCGCTCAGTCGGAGCATGCTTGCTCCCCGATGTCCTAGCGTCCACCCGGTTTCTTTGACCACCCGGGACCAAGGTTCAGGTAGCCCGCATTCTGACTTTGCGCCGCTCTTCCCAGCTTCGTCGGTGGTGTAAAGTTTCTGGTAGAGGCCTGCGAATTTGCAGCAAAAAACACTCCATCAGTGGCGGCCACCGCATCTAGGTTCGCCAGCTTCGGGACTAGACACCCATTCAATCGGTCTCATGGAGTCCATTCAGGGATTCGGAGCCATGGTGTGTCCTTATTCATGTCGGCCAAACATACTTTTGGCCCAACGGCTGTCATCACACTCGAACCGGACAGGGCAGAGGAGGAGAGCCACAAAGCCCCCTCGCCCTCATGTTGCCCGTCATCCGCCGCCATTCCTTAGCAGGCGGGAGTGTCAGCGTCAATCTGTCTCAACTTGAGACGTGGCGTTGAAGAGAAGTTCTGAAACCAGGTTTTCGACCTCTTGTGACGCTGGGTCAACTGCTCCGGAGCCAACGAGCCATACATTTTGTGGTACGAGGTCCACTATAGCCTCAAAGATGACTATGACCGCATCTACAGTGTCTTTCTGACATACTTGAGAGAGACGTAGGTGGACACAAGCTCGACACGAACAGGCGTATAGTTCGAGCTTAACGTTCTCTCGAACGGACTGATGAAGAGGCGCACTACCAATGTACGGGCGGTCCCAAGCGTGCCCATAGCTCTCGTTAAAGCCATGGAGAGCGGTGGAACGATCGAGAGCCTCAAGGCTAGCCGCATGAGCTATGCTCTTGCTGTAAGCGCTCCAGTCTCAGCGAGAACAGCTTCAGAGAAGAGGCCATTCTGTCGTCTGGCACTGACCAGGATAGCCGACAGAATCCGGTGGAGGAAATCCGGCCTGCAAGTGGCTTGTTCCTCGCTTCGGGTGAGATTTCGGTTCCCCAAGACACCTCGAGTTAGCTATCCGTAGTCTGTACAGTTTTTCCTAAGCGACCAACTCGGACAATGCATATTGGATGCTTTTGGTTAGGTCTTGGGGGTTGAACTCGTGGGAGGAAACAAAGGCTAGGGCATTCAGCATACGAACGCCACAACCAAGTTTCATCAGGGCTTTTTCGAGCAGTCCAAGTCAAGATTTGCCCACAAGATTGAGCGCAGGCAGTGAAAGACGAGAATACGCATTTGTGCGTTTTTGGTGACCTCTCCTGCTTGCTCGCTTGCCTTAGTGAAGTCACATAAGTGGCCACAAAGGTAAGGTACGCAAGGCATGATACTGGGTGGGTGTGCTCCTGGGCTCTATAACAGAGTGCGAGGATTCGTTACGCGAGCAGGGATACCCTAAGCTGATGTGCAACAGACAAAAGATGAGGGTCTCGGACCAGCAAGCAAAGTGCGAGCTGATAGACTAGAGATTGAGTATTCGGTTCCTGTCGAATCCTTGCAGAACGGTTGAGAATGCCATGTGGTGTCAAGATCCGAATGGCCGCCAAGCAACGGCAACATTTGTGTGTACGGACGTAAAATCGAGCAAGCCACGCGCGACGCCTGCTAGCTAGTCGTGTGTCGTCTTCATGGCCAACTCGACCCAGGAACCCGGGAGAAGAATGGGAGATTTTTCATGACGGAAAAAGATTAGAATCGGATTTGTAAATCCAGAAAGCCGGTAGCAAGTCGTCCCTTCACAACCTGGTTGGCTGAAAAGCGAGAAGAGTGAAGAAAGATCACTGCGGGCGCACCATCTCTTTGGCTGCCGTTACTAGGTGATGATGGCTTTTGGCTGTTGCTTCCATCTCGCTTGCCAATTCAGGTCTCATGGTGGCATCTTTCGTGCCATTCCTTCACAATAAGAAGTTTGAGGCTGAATGATGGGCACTCTGAAGGCGAATGCGGCGGGATCGGCGAAAAGGGATCCCAATGGAGGAGAAATGACATAGACAGAGAAAGGTGACCGACGATGGTTCTGTGGTGGTTGGAGTTGAGAAGAATGAAAGTTGGAGTACGGGCGTAAAAGCGCGTCCCCACTTTCCCCGACGTCCACACAGTGCCACCATTCTCCACGCGCGACCGGACAGCAGCAGCCTCCGGGGACCACATGCAAAACTCCAATCTGCCACTTCCATCCCACCAACAGAATCCCATACACGTCAACGAAACCAGCACGACATCCCGCCGAAAATGGACAACAACAAAGACCTCCTCGCCAAAGCAAAAGAGTACTCGTCCAACAACGTGGACCTCTACGACCTGCTGCAGATCGACAGCACCGTCACCGAGGAAAAGGACGTCCGCCGCGCGTGGCGCAAACAGTCGCTCAACTACCACCCGGACAAGCTCAAGGACGCCTTTGACCCCGAGAAATGGGAGCTCATCGAGACGGCCCGCGACATCCTGCTCGACGCCGCCGCCCGCGCCGCATACGACAACGCCCGCAAGGCCGTCCTCCTGCGCAAGGCCGAGCGCGACCGCGTCCAGGGCCAGCGCAAGCGCCTCATTGACGAGCTCGAGGCCGCGGAGCAGGAGGGTAAGAGGCAGAAGCTCGCAGAGCAGGAAAAGGCGCGCGAGCTGGAGCAGGAGAGGGCGCGGCTCGCCGAAGAAGGGCGCCGGCGCATGGCGGAGGAGTCGGAGAGGTTCAAGCGGGAGAACCTGGAGCGGTTGGAGAGGGAGAGGGAGCCTGATGAATACGATGAGAAGCTGGCCGAGCTGCAACAACGGCTGGACGAGAAGAGGCGACTCAAGGCCGAGAAGAAGGCGAGGAAGAAGGGCGGCGCGGTGGGCGACGCTGCTGCCGATGCAACCACGCCTGCGGCAGCGAACACACCAGAACCAGCACCAAAGCCAGCTCCATCAGCAGCACCCCCTAAATGGGAGGATCTCAAGGCGCGGATGATTGCAGCTCAGAGACTCAAGGAAGCGAGAAAAGCTGCCGAGGCAGGGCAGGCGACCGAGGAAGAGGTCAAACAAAAATACGAGAGTGTCCAGGCTCTCGACCCGAGGAATAAAGTTTAGACAGGCTGAGGATGGATTCGGCTTGCGTTTTTTGGAGGAGATGATGGCGGACGAGGCCGCGACGATGCAACTACGCGATTATACCCCATTTTACTTTCTATTTTACAATACGAGCGGCACTGACTTTTCAGTTAACCAGATGCCTCGTTCAATCCGTTCCTCAACCACTCGGGCACGAATGCCTTGATCTTCACTGCGTTATTCTGCTCACCGTCTCCCTCGCCCCATTTCAGCAGGAACTCATTGGTGGGGTCAAAGGTGGAAGCGGCCGTCTCCCCAGGTAAGACGACGTCCGTCATGATCTCCAGCCGGCACAGGCCCAGGCCGACGTTCCCAATGCCCTTGAGCCACTTGCCCGCGCTCCGCCCCTTCTTGCCAGACCTTCCGATGCTCGTCTCGCGCGGGATCGATTCCGCGGGCAGACCGCCCTCGGGGCCGCGATTCGCCGCGTCTTGGTCCGCATCTGTCCGGTACTGCAGCGTCTGGGGCGCCGCCCTGTCCACGTCGTAAATCATGCACGGCAGGATCCGCTTGCGCACCACGCCGCGGTGCTTGGTCCGGATCGTGAGCTCCTGCCCGACGTAGCATCCCTTGTGATAGTCGATCCCGTTCATGTAGTCCATATTCGTCTCCTGCGGCAGTGCGTGCTCCCGGATGACCTCGTCCTGGCCCTCGGCCACGCCCTGCAGGTACCTCCTGATCGTGTAGCTGTCCTCTGTCGTGACATCCAGGTCCAGACTCAACCCGGGCGGTGCTGCGGCCGCGTCCCCGCCCTGCACCACGCGGTACCCCAACCCGGGCGTCCGCGGGTCCTTGGTCATTGTGTCCATCAACGCGGCATCCGTCGTAATCGGCTTCCCGCTATCGTTCCAGGCATGCCACACCGTGGCCTCGTCCGCCGCGAGAAGTCGCACAGTGAGCTTGGCGCGCAGCTTGTACCGTTTGATATGCTTCGCCAGCCTCTCCGCCTCGTTGGCGTCTACCTCGATGAGGAACCGCGTGCCGGCCTGCTCCGACTCTGCCGCGGCGCCGCCGCCTAGGCCCGCGAGGTCTGGGTATATGAATACATCGTGCAGGACGCGGCCTGTGGCGTTGAGGAAAGCGGCGTAGAAGCCCGACTTTCGCGCGCGGGCGGCCTCGGAGGCGATGTTGCCCGTGATGACGCCCTGGAGGAACTTGGCGGCGTCGGCGCCGGCTACGGAGATGAGGCGGCGCGAGGAGAGGGCGGCGTAGCCAGCGGAGGGGGGCGCTGGGGGTGGAGCTGTAGTCGTCGGGTTTGTGCTCGAGCATTGTCGGCGCTGTTGTTGGCGGCAGGTGCGGCAGACGAAGGATGTGGCGGACAGCTGCTTGCGCGCTGTGAGCGTCGCGTTGCGGGTTAGGGTGTTCATCATTGCAGGTCGGATGGCTTCTCGAGCTAGGGGTGGTTTGACACCAAAAGGAGAGGAGATCAAAGATTGACAGAGAAAAAAAAAGAGTGCAAGATATGTTTGACTCAATCGGCGACCGAGCTCGCTGTGCGGCTATTCGAACACGCCGCGCCTTGGATGTGGAATGGGAAAATCGTTTGGTTTGTCATGACGTCCCAGCTCCGGGACGCACGGGACTCTCGGCCCGGGGTTAGGCCCATGGTACTGGGCAATATCTAGTGCCAGGGACGGAGGGTCGGGCGGCGTTGCTCCGAGTCTTTGCCCCACTGGCGGAGGAGACCTGTACTTTTGGCGGAGACTGGAGAGGTTCGTCTCACTTCCAACCTAGAAGGAAGGGTTCCCCTCTGTATGGCCTGTGCTTTCCGAAGCTAAAGTGCTGCCTAGAGACGAAGCTTTTCTTGCAACATCATCCATGAACCATGATCTTGTTCAATGTTTGTAATGTTTGTTATCCCAGTGGGTTTGCTATTCACTAGACACAATGTACGAATATCCAGGTGGAACTGTTACTGAAAAAGACTGACGACGCGTTGCTGCAGGTCATGTCGAGTGATGCCGGCATTGCTCACACTCGTTGCCTGAACGCACTAACTTGATGTGGAATACGATTCGACGAAGCGCGCTTAGATAAAGCCAGCGATTACAACGTTTGTATCCGTACTTGCTCGGCAATAGGTAGTCAATACAAATCCATCATTGCCAAAATTGGATTTCTTGTATCAGGTCTAAAGGCACATGAAATCCATCTTCGTTGGGGCTTTTCCAAACTTTACCGGCCAATTGGCCCAATAGCTAACGGATCTACGTCTACATCTCTCTCGCCCACCGCTATACGATCTAGAACGTTGTCGTTTCTCTCCATGTCTCAGAATCACAACTGCCGGCCACCCAAGATTCATGACGCAAATACCCAACAATGTCGAGCAACACCTTCGCGGCAGTGAGGCACGGGCGCAGCACTCAGCGGGAGAGGCGTGCATTCCTCCTGGCAAGGCTGAAGGCACAGAGGCAATCGGAAGTGGGATTGTGACCCTGGTGGACTCCCAAATTTCCCTGGAATAACGAACCCCAGCAGGCACCCGCCAATGACAGCCACGTTGCCAGCGGCCCCAAGTAAGCACTAGTGCTCGACGCCGCCCCGTGGCAGTGTGGGTGCCAAGGACGAGTGCGACAGACTGCCAGTGTCGCACCTATCCGCAGCAAATCAGCCAATTTTTCCCATGCTGAATACCTGTTGAAACCCCCATAAATCGGTGTACGGGGATGATGGATCAGCAACTTGGAGGGGGGCCGGGCCACTGGGGTTCATCGTTTACCACTCAAGAGAGTAGAGATTGACTGGAGGATCAGGGGTATGGAAGGGCAATGATCAATCCCGTCACCTCGAGCGGATCCCCGAATCCTACGGATATCAGGTGTCTGGCCCCAATGCTACCCTCCCTTGTCTTGCAGAAAAGCATCGAGACATTTGGGTCATGTCCTTCTCGCGCTCCTTCCCGCTCGCGCCACGCTTTCGTCTCTAATCATCTTTCTTTCTCTCTCGATTTTCGTCCGTGATCGTCGCTTGGGGGATGTGTTGATCTCGCGTCTGAAGGATTTTCTCTCGTTTGTGGTACGGGTACTCACTCCTAGGGGCGGCGACCTTCATTACATACCATAGTCTGCGCGCATCGACCAGTTTGAGAAGCGGCGAGTCGATCGCGGGACAACATCGAGGATCATCCCGACGTTCACATTCACAGCGAATTCTTCGGCCAAAGCCATCATGGTGTCGCGATCATGGCTGGCAGCGTTGCTCGCTGTTGGACACCTTTCTTCTATCTGTAGAGCGCAAGTGGATGTCCCCTCAGTCAACAATTTTCGCAGAAGAGTCTTTGCTCGAGGTAAGCATCGGCCTACGTCTCTCTCTAAAGACACACAGGGCATCTCTAACGAATGCTCAGCGTCGGTCATTGGCGATTGGGTCTATTACGATGGAGGTGAAGTATCTCAGGTTATTAGCGGGTTGAGTCCCCAATCACAATGGCGGCCCTCCAACCCGACAAACACGACGCTCTCAATCGACCTTACCAAATCATGGACACCAGAGGACGTGGAGATCAAGGAAACCTCCAAATCGGCCCCAAAGATGATGAGGCAGGCCATCTTCACCGACAACTCGTCCAACTCCTTTTACATCTGGGGAGGCTTCACCTCGTACGGCGCCAAAATCCCAGACGCGAAACTATGGCACTTCACCCCGGACGGCAGCGGCGGCGGCCAATGGGGCACCGTCCTCCCGCACGGCAACACCGCCTTCACGGCCCTCACCCGCTCGCAGGGCGGCGCCTTCGTCAGCACCAAGGACTCCGGTTTCTACTTTGGAGGGTTCGCCGATTCCGGGTCCGACCCGAACCCCAACGGCCCCGTGCCGGGGTTTTTGCAATTCAACTACACGGCGACGGACACGGCGTGGACGAACAACTCGGACAGCGTGCCTTACTCTGACTACGGTACGCTTGTCGGCGCCACGGCGCACTACGCGCCGTACGGGCCAAACGGTCTGATTATGATCTTTGGCGGAGGATCGCACGTCATCGGGACCGGCCAGAGCGTGGATAACGTCGGCTATCTCAGCTTCAGCACGATTTACTTCATGGATCCGGTCACAAAGGTGTGGTATACCCAGCAGACGAGCGGCAACGCCCCGGGACCACGCATGTGGCACTGCACCGTCGGAGTCCAGGGTCCCAACAGCACATACGAGATGTAGGTTCCTCATTAAGCCTGCTAAGAAACGAATCCTCCTTCAAAGATGCTAACCGATGACTAGCTTCATGTACGGCGGCAGTAACATCGCAAACAAAGAAACCTTTGACGAGGTCTACATCCTCTCGCTCCCCGGCTTCGTCTGGCAAAAGGCAAACTACACCTCCGCGGCGCCGCGCGACACGCAGTCGTGCGTCGTCGCCGGCCAGCGCCAGATGATCACCTTTGGCGGCGTCAACAGGATGGCCAACAACGCCAACTCGACCCTCTTCTTCAACGAGGAGGATTCCTTCCGCCAGGGCGTCGGCGTCTTCGACCTCACTGCGCTGGCGTGGAAGGACGCATACGAGCCCACGGCCGCCGCGTACGATTCTCCCGACATCGTCAAGGCCTGGTACAATGAGGGGTGAGTTGGAAAACATATATTGATAACGGTACTGTAGAGTGTAATCCCACTGACTGTTGTCGCAGCAACCTCGCCAGCGTCCAGTACGGCTCGGGCGTCGAAGCCCTCATCAACTACGGCAAATCCGGATCAGGCTCGAGCTCAGGCTCAGGCTCCGACGGCTCCGGCTCCGACTCCAGCTCCGACTCGAAGTCCTCCAACACAGGCGCCATCGCCGGTGGCGTGGTAGGCGGCGTAGCGGGCGTCGCCCTCATCGGCCTAGCCGCATTCTTCCTCATGAGGCGGCGGAAGCACAAAAAGGTCCCGACAGAAGAAACCGGCCCCAACGCCGTCGAAGCCCCGGGCTCGGCCGCCTACTATAATGACAACAACAATGCCGGGATGCAGCAACACCAGCAGACGGCCTACTCGCCGGGCCCCGCCCCGTCAATGACGACGGCGCCGTCGGAGCTCCAGGGGGAGTACAGGGACCACTCGCCGTTTTCGGGCAGCGACGTGCCGCCCAAGATGATGCAGCCTCCCGAGATGGATGCGGGGGAGCCGCGGCACTATTACGCGGCGGAGCTGGACGGGACGGAGGCGCGGAAGTGAATGGCCTCAAAGCCGGTCAAATACCATTTGAGGGGGTAAAAGTTCCAGCTGGACGAGAAATAATTCATGACGAGATGTGGAAAAAATTCAGGGCCGAAGTAATGTTTCTAGGAAGATATAGACTGTATAGTATACACTGTCGATAATACCCTGCCTGAGAGAAGGTACATGTTGAGACTTGCGGTTTTTGTAATTTGTGTAGCTTACTTGCTCTTGGCCCATAAAGCAATGAACTGAAATAGGACAACCATTACTTCCGACGCCCAGCTGGGAATGAAGGGAGGAGGAGGGGTCAATCAGCCCGCTCGAGACACACTCAGGACGCCGATATAGCTCTGCGGCATAGCCACTCGAATGCTGCGTTCAACCTGTATGCCATCGTCATTCCCTGAAAAACGGCAGCCTGAGTGGTTCCCACAAAGCCTCTCTTGCGGCATGTCTCTTGCATTTCTAGGCCGCAAGGGGCTGGTAGCATCTGCAACGCCCTCTTCTAACAGCGATCCCTCTCCAGTCAACGTTGCCGCCTTCGCATTCGCCATCGTTATGAATTGTCGTGTTTATCACAACAGGCATGATCAACTAAATTCAACGCCTTTGGGAACCACTGAACATAGCCAAGCAGCATGTGTCTTCCTTGTGCCTTGTAGTTTACCTGAAGATTTAGGGTGATACGATGTGATCAGGACTCTCAACTAGCTATTGCGATGCGCCGGGAGGGGTGGAGCGCTTGCAGAGGCCAGACCATGGTGAAGGCATCATCTTTCATGTCATATCTCCTTACTACAAACAGAGTCTCCAGTCTGCGTCGAGATCTCGTGGACGTGACGAAGGCTCTCCACAGGCTGACCAGTGCCTATACATACCGAAGCATCCACTGAGTGCTAGTGAGCTGAAAAAAGCTGGCGTTTGTGGAGTCTGGGCAACGGGAACGGCTGGAAACGATATCATGTACATCTTGTATCTTTCCGTTTAGTCAAGTCCAGGGTTTATGTAGAGACGAAACGACGCAAGCAAGGGTTTTCTAGTGGTAACTCATGATCTAGCACCTCCTACGTATATGGGCTTGCCAACGCCAGCTGGACCGTAACTTGTTATCGTCTTTAACCTATTATTTTGAAACGAAATATCTGGGGTCAGGAAGTGTCTGGACTCGTCTGTCGGCTATGGGGCGCTCTGGTCCAGATATTTCGTTGAAGATACAGCTCTACACTCCAAGTCTTCGGACTCCCAATCGAAACCGACAACCTCACAACAGCAGCGGCCAGTCCCCAAGCACCACCGCCCCTGAACGTCGCTGTGACCTAGACAGCTATCCCTCTCGGCCTAGACCACCTTCAGTCCCCCTTGGTGCAGGAGATATCTGCCACGAGCATCACGATGTACGAGCTAGAAGACAGACTAAATGGGTACAGTAGGTTTTGGTTCGTACTTGTCGAGGCGTACAGTTTCTGGTTTCCTGATGGGGCAGGGGATCGGTCGGGGGTTCCTCACTCTGTACTCACGAACACGAAGGGGCGCAGAAATGACGATGCGTGATAGACGATGCGAGAATGATGATCTTACATCCTGGTCGGTCTCTATTGTAGGAGGTTCCTCAAGACCAACCGAGCTTTGTCACTAAAGGCAAGATAACAAGGCTATTAAGCATTGTTGGACAATGCTTTCCATATCAGCTGATCTGGTGGGAAGCATGAGAGTGAACGCAGAGCGGAGGCTCGATCGTTCTTCTTTGTATCATCGTCATTTTGAGGGGGCAAGAAGCCGTTTGGTATCTCAAAACACACCACTTCTCATATTCCCATGTCTCATGAGAGTGGACTTTGACGAGATGACCTTTTACCATTGCACATTACCAAGCCTTTTGAATCTAAATCTATCCCAGGTTCGGTGATACCTTTGTGCTCACGGATTCTATTGCTTGCCACAAAGCATCAGCAATCACTCGAAATGCATCATGAACGAGGTCTTCATATCAAGGAATACAGCAGCGGCTTTTATAATGGCCATGTCTGGGCAACTATAGTCTAGCTGACATCGTTATAAGAGGCAAATGACAATTTGGCTGGCTACTTGATCACCGATCCAAGGAGGCATACACGACTGCCGGTAAACCGAGGATCATATCTCACTTCTACACCTCTCATCTCCTAGCGATAACCGACGTGTCACCGGCTCTGCAATAGAAATCCCGACCTACCTTCACAATGGCCATCGGCCGAGATGCCAGGCACGAACCCGGGAATGAGATGTTACACACAAAAGCACAAAAGCAGTAGTGTTCCCGACAATCAGGAACCACTGAACCAGAACACGGACAAAGGTCAGCTAGCCTCGTGTACCAAAAGAAGCAACGGGCACACCGCAGGGAGAGAGATGGAGAGACCAGGGAGCCGGGCTACTGTTCGGGGGCTTGACCTATCAGGAGACCAGGTTCACGATGAAGAGGAATGCTTGCGATGCTACTGTTTGTTTACTTTTTTTGGTTACTTTCCATCTTTATCGATTCTCGATTCTTAATTTTAATGTACCCCGGCATTACTCGTTAGTTATTCACTTCCCTCAGACATTGAACTGCGGCCCCGGAGCCAAATTAAGTGCAAAGACAATGGGGCGCTCTGAAGCAAGACGTCTCATATATCTAGAAGAAGAAAACATAATACCTGACATGGTCCTGATCCAGGTTCGCGGAGCAGCCCCGAATCAGAACCCAATCCATATTCCCCAAACCAAAACCAAAACCAAAACCAAAACCAAAACCAGAACCCCTGGTAGCTGAGACTCAGCTGAAAGTTCAGCCAAGCCAAAGGTCGAAATCTATCCGGCCGGCCGCGAGAGACGTCTCGGAATAGATGTCTCTTCTGTGCAACACCCCAGAATATGATCTTTGACCCGCGTGCTTGGTCAAGAATCCTTTCTTTAGATGGCAGACACGCAGACAAGTTTGAGGTTATACACCTTCCATCCCTTGAGTCAAGTGTGGATCCCCCGTCCGTCCCGTGCGGCCCCCGGCGATCTCGAAACCGATGAAGAACAGCAACTATTCCGCAGCCACGTCCGACAGCGGGAACGCTCCCCGGCGTTGAAACGCAGTTTAGACGAGTCAAAAAGACCGGGGGTTGAATTTCAGGAACGCTTCATGAACCACAGCAGTCTGAGAACAATGAAATGTTCGTCACATCATCCGTCTCTGAACTAAAATCAGAGCCGCATGGTTCCCGAGGCATGGAGTCGCGGCAGTTTCATCGGCGCCGGGCTTGGTGAGAGAGCATATCTCCGGTCCACCGTCCTGACTGTTCACAAGCCCAGAGCAACAACCCATTGCCGAGAAAAGACCACGGCCCTGCATCGAATCCCGTCCGGCGTCCGCCCTTTTTCCTCATCAGTCATCCATTCCCGTCTCATACTGCAGAAGTCTACGTCCACACCCCCCTTTGCCTTAGATCCACATGCTTAGCAATTCTCATACTTCTCCACGTGGGCGTGTGGCTGAAGAGATTTCCAAGCAAGCAGAGAATCTAGACCACGAGCCCCACATGATTGAGCGAAAATCGCGAACCAACTGGTAACGCGAAGAATCACTTGCAGCATTTTCGAGATGGGACGAGAGGGAAAAAAATAGGGCAGAAAAAAAATAGGTAGAAAAATTTCCCCTTGTCAATATCCACCGTGACCAACAGATCCACAGTCAGCCACCAATGTAAGCCCCGAACGCCTGCCCGATGGAAAGCGGTTCGGTCTAGTTGACGTCAAGAATACGTGGAAAATGCCTGTGAAGAAGGGGGAGAAGAAGAAAAGAAGAGAGGAAAATTTTCTCCATCCTAGCCTTTTGGACACCTGAAGCCCACTTGGTGTTAGGTTGTCTTTTCAAGATCCACCAGTTCGCTTCCCGCGTACCCAACGAACGAAAGAGTGAAAACTTCGTCGCGTGGCTCTGGATGGGACTCCGCGCCCTGGGTCGCCGTCCTCTCTGGTTGGATGTGTGCCTGAAGGCTCTGACAATTGACAGCCATGAGCCCTGTCGCACATCAGCCCTGGCAGTCCACCATCTCTCACACCTTGGTCCATTGGGCTGATTGACAGGAGCAACACCGAGGCGGCAGCAAGGGCTCCGCAAAAGTGAAAATCAGGAGCGCAGAACCGCGGGACCCCAGTTTTCACTCTAGAAGCACGCTAGAAGGTTACGGGTTTCCGCGCACGGTTCATATGCAGTGGGGCTCCGCCCAATGGAAGGACGCTAGAAGGCCGGGAGAAGACCGCGAGGTGACAGGGGTGTTGTGTCTGAAGAGTTTGAGAGGCTCTAACCCCCTTCTTCTGGACATATCTCGTTCTTATTTCCGTGGAGATGCAGTTCCTCCGCAAGGGGCATGCAAAAGGACGACCTGTTTCTGGATTGTTGTGCATATCGATATTAATCAGTGAGTCAGCACCACTATCGAACTTCCATTGTCGATTAACCCCGGCAGACGTCCCTACGAATAATCCGATGCAAGTCTGTACCAAGCTTCGACCCCGAAATCATCGGATCGGAGCTAAACCCCCGGCCTTGAACGACGACATCGTGCAGCAATTCCGCACAGGAACTCTGTAGTCAGAAGCCAGGGCGTCTTCGGTGCAAGCCGAGAAAGAAAGGCAAGAGACCCCTCGCAGGCCACACCCCCGTGCGGCACCCGGGGGCCTTGTCCCAACTGGAAACCCCCATCACGGCGATATTCCGGCCGCACATCGCCGAACCGATTTTTTCCTACCTCCACGGGTATTCGAATCTGCACCGGGGCAGGCCGCAGAGGCTTGGAAGGCTTGTTAGCGCCGCTGCAGGTCGAAGCACATCCAGCAGCCATGGCAGCCGTATAGGCAAAAGCCTGCAAAGCCACAAAGCCTCGTCCGGGTTCGCGTGGCACACACGCACACTATACACGCAGACGCGGAGCGTAGGACATTACCTACACACACGCATACATACCTAGCAAGAGTCATCCGGTATGCGCGTCCTTTTGACCAATGGTACGATGTGGTCGTGGTGGCACCAGCCACGAGCGGTAAGCATAACAGCCCTGCGAGATGCAATGGTAGTAGGTAAAGTAAGCAAGCACCGCCTCACGCCTTAAAGGACATCTCCGTAAAGGACTTTGGAAACCGAGAAAGTACTATCGTGTTCCGTGATCTCTGATTGGCGATGTGACGGTTCACTGCGTGAGACTGTGAATTATTGGACTCATTTGGATGGAGGATGCATGTCAGCGCGTGCGGAATGGTTGGCTGCTGCACAGCAAAAATCCACGCAGACAACCCGGCCTCGTTCCGCGAGCGAGTCCGAGCTTTTTGCTTACCCTCGCTCTCGTACGGGTACGGACTGTCACTAGGTACTATGCGGGCTCTCTTTCGCATCCCATCCAGCCCTATCTGGTAATCCAACCCTGCAGCTAGGGAATCGGCGAGTTGGCTGCTACGTTCCATTGCGTACGGCGGTGATGATGGTGATGATAATAATGTACCATGTTATGCTGTGTTCTGCAAGAGGCTTACCAATGGAGATGCAGTGCGATTTGCGATATCCAAATGCGATGAACTACTGCTGCTGCAGCAGCTGCAGCTGTAGGCAAAGTAAGCTGGCCTCAGATTCCCCCGAGTCCCCATCTGCCTGCTCAAAGACTTCCATCCATTTGTCAAACTGTGGATTGCCTCATCCGGGGGCCACCCAAATAAAGTCCCCCGCTTGCCGGGCTGCAGTTCTCAGTTCTTGCTTCTTCGGCGATTCCACGACGCTGACATATACATGGGCGGACTCATGAGCACTAGAGGAAGTCTGCTAATTTATATTCCCACGCACAAAGGACCCCTGATCTCGTCATTCCGTGGTGTGGGAATAAGAGAATGGGAGTGTGTGTGTGTGTGTGTGATTATGAAGCGGAAGAGAGAGCATAGACCAGCTGGCTGTTAACGTACCGCGGAGTTGGGATTGGGAATCATGGGACAACAGAGTGAAAGAAGCTTTTAGCTCTATTCGGCATTTTCAGTGCAGTCTCAATGACGCGAGAGCGCGGGAGTGGGCGTGTGGATGTGGGCGTGGGCTGGATCCCGTTCACGGATTTTACTGCTTACTGATGACTCTTTTACCTGTTCTATCCGTAGAGTCCCCGGTTGCACATCTCTCTGCCTCTCACGTGTGAAAGTGCGTTGGTTTGGCGGGGTGCAGCTTGCTCCTCTACTCGCCGATCTAGGTGACCGTCCGTCCGGCCGTCGGAGCCACGGCAACAAGTGAACCGTGCGGGTAGTTCGGAAGAGCTCGAAAGTATGAAGCTCAAGGGTCTTGAAGAGTCCAGAACAGAAAACAGTCACATCAGACGGCCGCTTTTCAAAGATGCCGAATCCCCTCCCCCCCTCTCTGTGTCTCTCTCCCGTTATCCTCCGTATTGAATCCGGATTCATCGTCAAAGCATCCCTTCCGCTCACTTATCTTCGAACGACACGGGACCGCTTTTTTCTGGGAACCCCCCCACGTCTGTATTGTTTCCCCCGTTCCCAACGGAGGGAGTCGGGAGGATTAAAGGTACGAGAGATTGAAGACCGGTAGGCATCGGGATGGAATAGTCAAAGCTTTCATCCCGTCTACGAGAAGCTTTAGGAATCGCTACGGGTTACGGTACGGGCTACACAAGTTTACGAAGGATTTCGTTACACAAGGCCGTGTAGCCGTAGCCTCCCGTATTCCGCCGTACTCGTCCCAATCCGGCATTTTGTGCAGATCGTGGGGTTTGGTGCGGTTGCCTGTAGGTTAGGTACTCCGTACGCCGGAGTAAGCTTGGAGGCTTTCCGCCAGGTACAGCCGGCCCCCAAATCCCGCAACACTGGGATTGAAAGCCGGAATAATATCGAGAAGTTGATGATCACGCGCGCACGCAAGAGGGAAGTTGCCGGGCGAGCTGTCTTGATCCACCCCCTCCGCTTACACGGTACTTGTGAGAGCTCCTTGCGATGTTTGGCCCAGGCTTCATGTGCGTGTGTAACACTGGAACCGATGAGTCCATCTCACGCGAGACTGAGAGCAGCTCTGTAGGGCAGGCCCAGTCGAGGGGTGTGTCTCTGTCAAACGGCCTCGCGATTGGATGAACCAATCTCACGGGTTACAACTTGAACGGCGAAAGCGAAAGAGAAGAAGTACGGTGGTGTTGGTGTAAGAAGGTTACGGGGCATGCATGCAGCAAGCCACCCTCTCGATGATGCCGTGGGTTCTGATCTGACCTGACCTGGTCTGAAGCAGACCATATCCTCGTCTTCCCCGCGCCCACGTATTGGCGTATAGGCGCAGACTTGTTGTAGACAGGTAGTCGTATGTAGGCAGACTGACTGGCAGACTGGGACCGAGCCACTGCCAGGACGGAGTAGAGTACGGATAGAATCGATGGCTCATCTCGACTCAAAGCGGAGCGGAGCACGGCGATTTCAACCGACCGACCGACTGCCCTACAGAAACGGAGGAGGGGTGTGTGAGAATGAGTACTGCGTTTTTGTGGCTTCAAGACTGCCAACCCCTGCCTGCCATTCGCGTGGTGCCCCAGCCCAGATCTGCCCGGATGACTGATGAGTCGATGACCAAAGATGAGCCATATTACCTGATTTGCACCGTCAATCTGTGGCTGTTCGCTGTCAAAGTGTGAGCGTAATCTTTTAGAGTTGTCTGCCCTTCAGTTTGCTCCGTGCCCGATCGCGGTGCCGAGCGTCTCCGACGCTGTCCCCTCATCCTCTCGGGCACGTCTAATGCCCAGAATGCGGCCCTTTGTCTTTTCGGTATGGGCAAAGTCGGAGGGAAGCTTCGGCAGGGTGGGTTTCTTCCTATGGCTTCATCACTCGACACCTTTCAGAGATCCCCCGGGCGGTGCGGGCTTCGTGATTCCCGGGTCATCATCGTCACCATCCTTGCTTTTCCCCCTCTGCTGCTGAGTTATGGTCCCCGGGGAAACAGAACACGTCGGCGATGCGCGAGGACTTGTTCCTGATACTTGATCGATATTTCCACTCTGTAGATCGAACAGACCATTTCGCAGCCCAAGAGGCAGAATTATTCAGGTATTTGGGGTTCTATTGGGCAATTTAGGTATCTAGACAAAAAAGTTTCAAGCTGGCCGATCAGGCTTTTTCGTCCAAACTCTGGTCGCTTGCCCGCCCTGCTGCGGTGGCCCCCGTTCGAATGAACCCCGTCGCCCGGGGCAATAGTTCTTCGCGATGGTCCGGGCTGTGGAGTTAAGAGCACCGTACCTTGCTTTCAGGCTCCGACTCATCATGGGGCCGGGCCTTTTCAGGTCCTGGTGGCTGAGGTTGCCCGCGTCTCCCCAAGACGTGGACTCCAGGCACCGACCATAAGGTACTTTGTGTAAGGTACGGACAGAAAATGTTAAGCAAGAGTTATGCCGAGAGCGAAGGGCGTTATGCCTAACCCGGCCGAGTAAGAGGAAAGTAAAGAGTACCGTACCGTAACGTAATACGTGTAAAACCGGTACGGAATAGGGCGCAATGAGACTCTTGCTACGTCTGCTCTCTCTGTCTCGTCAAGGCTCAGCCCTACAAAACAACGAGTGTGTGGCTCGGGGCCATTCGTAAATCCGTACGGATCTACTCCGTGTATCCGTACAGATGGGTTTCGTACTTTCGTACTCTCTCTGCGCAAGGTAGCGCCCAGCTCGCAAGGGCCTGTGATTGGCGCGTGTCCGCGAAGGTAGTCAGCTGGCCAGCATCTAATCTCTCCGCAGATGTCTATCCCCCGTCGTCTGGCCCCCGGTTCGCAAGCTCGCACTGCTCGCACTCGCAGGAGGACGTGGACGGAGCCGACGGCGGATGAGGCGGTGCAGCAGGGGAATTCGTACCAAGCTGTGCTGGTGCTGTGCTTAACCCCCGCGCGCATTCGCACAATTCGCGGCCGTACTGTAATCCCTTGTCTCGGCGCCGTAAAGTATGAGGCCCTGGGCGGTCGACCGGGGTTGAGGATGAGCCTGTGAGGTGTTGAGGTAGCAACGGTTCTCGGCGCAGTACTTTTAGGCTTCTCACTTTTGGACATTCTCTCACCCCAGGTGATCCGCACGGAGAGTACAGAATGCCGGGGGGGTACGGAGTACTGTGAACTGTCATTATCCCAAAGGGGGGAACGGGAGCGACATCAGATCAGGCCCCTTCAGCCTTGGCCCGGGGTATTACATTGGCAATTGTGACAATCAAGGGGAATTGGGAATTCTTGGGATGGCACCTTGGGACGGGGTTAAGCAAAACATACCCCCGTCGTGAGTGAGCTGGAATCCCGCTATTGACATTATGAGGCCCGTTCCCTTTTTTTCTATTCTCGCTTGCTGGCCTCAGCTTGTCGCAGATTGCGTGCATGGTGCGAGTTACAGAGTATAGGAAATGAGCCATCATCCCTTTTTCTAAGAGAGTGTGTAATTATGGTTGTAAGGTGGGCAACCGGGGTTATGGTAATTGGTAAGGCGTGCGACCGCGGCCGAGAGCCAAGGCCAGCAAGCGAACCATAAGCATAATCTGCGTGTGTGTTCACGATGATACGGCGTGTCAGATTGGAAATTGAGGCAGACGAGACGAAGCTAGCTAGCGATGAAGAGATGACGCGCCTGACGGACAGGGTGAAAGGTGTAGACGCCGGGACAGCGGTGGGTGGTAGAGTAAGGTTGGTGATTAATCCAGGTGTTGGTCGGTGCGGAGTTATGGGAGTTATGCCTAATTCCTGTCTCCGTTTTGGTGATGATGAATACAAACTCACTATTGTACGAATAGAGGGGATGAGATGAGACGAGACTAGCGGGAGTGCGTGCTTCGCTGGAGAAGTCTAGTGGCCGATTCTGATGGAAGGCTTGATTGATTGATTACAGAGAAAAGCGAGCACAGGCTGACAAACGTGGACGCTTATCCCATCAGACGCGAAGTACCTAGCGACCTGACGAATAAGCAGCGATGCTCCGTACCCAAGCAGCAATAAGGTAGGAAGGTACGGGTAGAAGGTTACGGATCTTCGGGGTACGTACTCAGTCCGCGATGAGTCGTCGTGTTGTTTCCGCCGAGTGCGTCAGACCCTCGAGACCTCGCAGAGAGTCTAGGTAAGACTTCTTCTGGGCGCCCTATGGTAGCGTGGGCAGCGTCGACGACGACGACGACGACAACGACTACCGGATTAGCGTCTTGGGTTTGCTAGTGACGGGCAACCGTACACTTACGCCGTACCGACCGGCGGCAGCGTAGGTAAGCTCCAAAAGTCCGAACACCACCCGCAGCCCGCAGCGACAAATCTCCAGCTGGCGGAGGCTCGGGAAGCACCCTCGGCCTTGCTGATGACAAACGCCGCCCAAAGTCCACGATGGAGGAACGGGTACCGTGGGACGGAGCTTAGAGAAGCCCCACTTTCTGCAGGCACAGCGAAAGACTCATCGCTTTCATAATTCTTTCTGCTTAGGAAGATTCGCACTTCGCACCTCGCAATCGCGCAAAACTCCCGCCCACACCCACACCCCACCCCACCCTTCACCCCCCTGATGGGTCATCCACCCCCTGCACCTGCACACCCTTCGCTCCCACACCCCCCTTGTCACCGCTCCTCCCTCACTTTTCTTCTCTCCGAGCCCGACAAGTCCAGGTTAGCCAGCACAGCGGAGCAACCTGAGTTAAAAGAAATGTGTTTCCCCTTCCCAACCAGATCTAGAGAAATCCTATCATCCAGCCTCAGCTTCAACAGACCAAGACACAAGATCGATACTAACTCCTCTCAAGAAGAAACATCTTCCAACCTGAACTATTATATAACCATCATCGACCTTGCCTCTTTGCCATCTCAACTCGCCGCCTCATCTGGTATACTCCAAAAAGATTACCAAAGCATCATCACAGACCAAGCCAACTAGCCCAGGCATCCCTGCCCCACTGCATCTTGCACCCCCCGATCTCGCTTTGAGTCATACCAGCCAAAATCGCGACATATCAGTCACCATTGGTGCACAGTCATACAAAATGTCGACAACTACCACAACTTCCACCTTCACTGCTCCTCACACACAACAACCTCTCCGCCTTGCCGTCCAGAAGAAGAAGATGAGCATCACCCAGACTTACTACCTCGCCCACAAGGCCCGGGCCAAGCTCTCCTCTGAGGCTGCCCGCGCCGACCACGACCTCCGCCTCCTCGTCGGCCACGCCAACCTCCTCGACTCCCTGATGCTTGAGCTTGCCGACGCCGAGCGGGAACAAGAGAGCTGGTTCAACCAGTCTGTCCGCGGTGCCACCAAAACCGAGTCCGCTCCCGCTGCCACCAAGGACCGTCACATCCAATGGGCCGACTCCATCGCCGAGGACTCGGAGGACCTCTACGAGGACGACTCCTCCGACTCGGACGACTCTTCCGTCTCTTCTGACGACGACTACGAGGAGGATGACATTGAGATGGCCGACACCGTCTCCCTCCGCCGCATGCCCTCCGCTGCCCCCGCTTCTCCGAGAACATCCACCATCGAGGTCTCGGAAGACTACGACATGGAGGAGGACGACCTCGAGGAGGACTACGCACAGCTCGAGCTCGTCCGCACACCATCCCACTCCAGCTCCAGCTCACCACCAGAGCTCGAGCACGAGCACGACTCTGACATCTCAGATGACGAGTCGATGCCCCCATCACCGCCAAATGCAGTGCTCACCTTCAACGAGAAGGAGGCCAAGGAAGAGATCTCTCAACAACAATCACAACAGGGCGATGGTACCTTCTACTCTGAAGGCTACTACCTGCCGGCCCGCAACCCAGCAAGGCTCGTGTCTGCCATCTCAGTGTACTGAGTCTACACCTGAGAGCACACCCTACCTTGTAACATGATCTCTTCTTTGGCTTTTTACATCAGCGAGCGTTTGCATATTATACGGCGTTATCATTTGTCACCGATACCAAACTACAACGGCATGGGTTACGAATTACTTGGATTACAAAACGACAGCAATGTCTTCTCAACTCTTCTCTCTCATCTTATTTTCCTAAATGTCGCTACGAGAAAGCATGGGGTGCCTATTTTGGAGGACCCTGATGGATAATGGAACCGGACTTTTCTTTTCTTCAGCTGTCTTCCCGCTCCCGGGCTCCAGTCCGCGGTCGAGTGGTACCGGCACAATGTGTTACAGAAACCAGATAGATAGCCGCTTAGGGGTCAAACAGTGCCCCTTCCAAAAGCGAAGCATCAAACAATTGAAAATCAATGAAATCAAACCCCCTGTCCTCTGCAATATTGTGAACACTTTCTTGGTACGAGGACTTGGAGCGAAAAACAACAAAAGTAAGTCACGATTGCATCATCATTGCTTCTTCATTCGCCTCATCTCGGGGCGAAAGTAGGAGTTGGATGAAACTTGCGCGCTGACCGAGTCATTTAGGCAGACCACATGATTCAGCAAAGACCTGCCGTCACAATGCGCCGCTGCGCGTTACGACGACTCCAACAGCGCACCTCACAAAAATCGACTTTTTTTTGGCCTATGCCTACCATTTTCGCCCAGGTACCCGAAGAGGGTTGGCGGATGCGCCCTGCGATCTCGGCAGATCGGCGTCGCTCAACCTCCGGTCTTTCCATTGCACCTGCACTTTCGCTCCAGCTGCTCAGGTGCCCGCCCACCCGCCAACCCCTCGCCCGCTCGCTTACCTCACCCTTCGAAGCCGAGCTGCCTGCCTTGCGCAGCTGCGCTTGGTGCTGCCTGCCTGCCACGAACGAACGGGGTTACAAAGCAAATTCCACGACGACGACCGATTTCCGCGCCCCGACATTTTAACGACACGCCCCCTTCCGCTACTTGCCTTCTAGTCATCTTTTCAGATCTTTTCAGGACAGTCACCGTCTCACAGATTTCCATGGTTCACTAACGCCGCCGTATCGTGGACGAATCACGAGGAGAAATTTCATAGGCATCCGGACTTTGGCGGTGTGTTTTAACTCCCCCCCCTACCGCAAAAAGACGGAATTAATAATTAGGCTGCCTGAATGTTAAGCCCGTGGTTAATGGTGCAGGTGAAGAGCAAACAGCGAAAAAGCCGACGCCAGCGATTCGAATTATTCATCATCACAATTCCTCGCCGTTGCACCCGAAGCCACTTTTGCACAAAAGAATGTCACCGAGGATATTTATGGATGGTCGCCGACGAGTAAATGTCACGATGTTTCATTCGATCCGAGTTTTACGGATGAACGCCGCTCGTAAACGATGAACGGCGACGATGATCTGATTTGGACTGGTCTGATGGAATTTCAATTGGAGCGAAAAAGAAAAACGATTGCGAGGCAAGCATGGCGCAGCTGGGACTTTGTGGTGAAAATCGAGAGACAGAAAATAGGACGACAAACGATTACGACGATACGAAGCCGACATGAGCCACGAGCGAGCGAAAAAGGCGTGTACGGTGTGGCATCCCGCGTACACAATTACGGTACGCTGGGGAGGGGTGTGCAACGCGGCCGCGACAGCGAATGCGAGTCACCGAGGCCAAAAAAGAACAGAAAAAAATCAATGACAGTCATCAAGGCGTGCGGACGGACGAATACCGTCCGACTGGAGACGGCGAACCCAAAGGAGATAAGCCCCAGGGCCACCAAAGGGCCCCTAGGGGAACCGACGGAGAAGACAACCTCCCGCAATTGCCCACGCTGGACGGGTGACAGACTGTTCCCTCGGGGCCCGAATACTGCGGCAACATAGAGACACGTGGTGCGCATAGGGGCCCGAGCGCGTCCCTTTTCGAGGCCGAGGCCACCGTCATCCCGCGCTGACATAAGGCACAGCCAGCAGTAACCGAAAGAGATCTGAGCTGCCAGATTTTTTTAAGATTGGCAGATCAAAGACAAGATGGAAATGGCACCACAATTTCACTTGGCTTGTGAAGGTCTTTGGCGAGCGTCGCCCGGGGTCCTTGGCTACTTTCACGGCTTCGTCAGCGACCGGCCTGTTTGCTGGGCGTATCTTTCACCATTTCCTCGATGCAAACAGGCCAATTGTCCTCCAGAACCAAATGTTCGAATCCTACTCCGTACACGGTAGGTAATATGCAGGAAATAATAGCACTGGAAACTGGAAGCGACGAGACCACAGGAGGGAGTGTGTGTCTTTTGCCTGCCGCCGTTTGAAATGATTCATCCGATCTCTGTCCTATCCGGTCTCCATACATAGGCCGGCAACCACCATCAGCGTCCGACTTCGCTGGCACGCGGGTCGGCAGGTTCATGATTGAGCCGACCCTCCGGCGATAAGGAAGAAGGTGTGACTCGTTAGAGACGTGCACGCCGACGGGACGGCTTAACGGTAGTGTTGGTGGTAGGTGGTGCGCACTCTGCCGATCCAGTTCTTTTCCCGCCCGCCCGTCGGAAGCCTTGGCCGAACCGGCAGCGTCGGCGGGACTCAGGTAGGTAGCTAACGGCAGGCACATCGGCATGCAGTCAGTCACTACGCGTGCAGTCGAATCCATTGTTTTTGATCGCCAGTCTCGGCTACGGAAAGCCCAAATCAGACTGGTGGGAGTAAAGGTGAGGTGAGGTACGGATAATGCAGAATTCGAGTGTGACGAGACAGCGGGACGCTTGTTTCTGTTTCACTTGCGTTGTTCTTCCCGATCGAGGACGTTTTTGAATCCCGCGGGTTAGGTTGGGTTTCGTGAGGGGCGGATACGGGTAGATGGCCTCCATCGTGACAAACGGCGCCAACGGATATGCACGTGTGAGTTGGTTTGCAGATTTTTGCCAGACTATCTAGAAAGTAGATGCCCCCCCGACTTGAGTCAATACAACACTTTCTCGGCAACATTCCGTATGTTTCTTGGTGTATGGAGTGGAATGGATGGAAAAAATCATCGAATGCATCTAAATCGTCTGGGGCGGTGCGCTACCCTCAAGGTCTGACAAACACCACTCGTCCGTTACACTTGGCAGTGCTGGTCCCACGATGTGTATATCTTCTTGCTTGACCGCCCCCTCGGTCGGGTACACGCTCTCCCTTTATCGATCCTGGGGTTTACTTTACCTAGTCTACCCTACCTGCGGGTGAGGAAGAGGGGGGGAGGGGGGGCCTCAACACGGCAGGCAAACATGGGAAAGTGAAATAATCACAAACCCAAGGGAAGGCAAGGCGGTGAAGCCTTGAAAGGTTGGGTTTGGTTCCTGGGGGATAGATTTTTTGGGGCGGCACTAGACAGGTTTACAAGCATTATGGGAAATTGGCCCAACCTCTTCACTGGGCTCTTGATGTTTGTGACTGGGTGATCTGGCTGGGGCTGCTCTTTTCTTATTCCTTATAGAGCAAGGCGAAGGACAACATCAAAGCGGTGTCTGCACAAAGTGCGTGCAGGTTGTATGGGCGATTGGCATCTTTTTTGACACCTCATCTCATCAACCCCAGCTGGGAATGACACAGAGACACGCTGGCGAGCAGGGCATCATTCGACGAGGATTGATATCAATCAATCACTGGGGCCTGGGGGGGGGGCCTGAAAGTCCTGCGGGCGTGGGGTTTTTCGATTCAGGGCGCGAGGAGGCGGCCAGACTCGAAAGTGAAGGGCTGCAATCTGGAGTCCTGGACCCTATCTGCCTTGCTTGCGTCCCCCGTCGATCATTTGAGGCTGTAGGCGAGGGTGGGGAGCGGGGAAGGGAGTTTACCCTCGACAAAGTGTCAATTGTGCAATACGGCATAGATGGAGTCCTTCTGTCTCGCCTCGCGCACGCAATCGCGTCTGTCTACTCCGCAGTGTACGGATAGATCGCGTGATGACGACCTGTGATTGTCGATTTCAATCACGTCGTCGATACTCTAGAGCATGAGGGGGGCGACGGCCCGCACGTGGGGAATACTGAGGTCACAATGGCGAATTTTGAGAAGGGCGATCTGATCTTCCATTGCTTGGGGAACATCGAGTCTTATCGATAAGGTAGATCAGATAAGAGTGTGTGTGTGTGTGTGCGAGAAGGCGTTTTCTGAGGCCATACCTATGGTACATACTACGGCCACGGCTTCCGAAGGCTGGACAAGATCTTCACGCGCGCATGTAATCATATCATTCCTACGGATACTCCATGTATCCGCAATCTCCACGGCTCTCGGTCGCGGACTTGCGGGTTGTGCCTTTTCCAGGGTCTATGATCTGCTTGATAAGAGGGGGAATCTGGCACAATCTGGATCCACTGGATTACGCTGTACAGTGGAAAAGTAAGAAAACCCAAGGTCCGGAATTTCCAAGATCAACTCTTTTGTGGATAATGAAGAAGGTCTCGACTCTCTTCACATTTCACAAGAGAAAAGATGATCAGTGAGTGCTCGCTTCAAAAAGTTGGACGACTGGATGAGGTGTTCGCCCGCAACCTGTGCCCGCACCGCGAGGATCCATCGTTCTCTAACATACCGCCGCTCCACGACATATTCCACCCCCGTCTCCGCCGGGGTGCGGTGGATTGAGTTTCGGGCGGGCGGCGGTGCGGAAGGGGAGTGCAGCGAGCTCAGAGCCTGTGACTGTGAGTCCTTCGGCACGGCGGCGGGGTATCCATTTGGTGGAGTTCTTCTTCCTCGAGGCAAGGTCCCCGAGGCAAGGGGACAAATAGTTGCAGATAATCATGGCAGGGGTAAGAATGAGAGATTTGTGCAAAGAGATCGTGAGTATTCGATCGTGACTATTGACTGATGAGTCGTCGATGAAGAGATGGGAAATTCCAATCTGGTCAAGGGAAGCGAGGCTACCACCCCCACCCTGTTCGGAGTATTTTGAGTCACTCACTGCGGCCGGCCCTGAAATTTCGCGATGGTGGCCTTGTATTGGATTGGATTCGTGCTGCCTGCGCCGCCGCATCTCTCTTCTCCCTCCGCTTACCTATCCCCACCGCCGCTCTGCGGTGCCAGGTGCAGATGGGTGATTGCTTGGCATTGGAGTTAAATCTCACTTTGTAATCCGTAAGTCCAGAACCTGGCGGGGGGTCCATCCAGGTCTCTCCCCTTGGACGGCTGGAGCCCGGGGGCCGAGAATTATGGATCTCTCTATCCGTACCCCGTACCTTATCCGCTTGTGCATAAAAGGGTGTGAGAATAGTCGCAAATGTGTCCCTAATTGTGCAAAGCCGTGGGGGCTGCTATCGTAAGCCGAAGCCGAATTATTCATCAGTCATCCAGGCGCCCAGCGACTCTAACTCCGTTGCCTGCCACGGCTGCCAAGGATTCTCCCACACTTTGTCCGAGCGTCCGATGACTGGTTCGAGCAAAAAAGGACTGTTGGCTTGGAAATCAGAGACAAAACTTGACATGCATACACCCACACCCCCTCCCTGCCTTTCGAAACGTGAGGAAATGCAAGCAGCGGGCCGCACCTGTCTGTTGCGAAGATCCGCAGAACGTGCTGGATTTGTGTTTGTTGGTCGCGGTCGAGTTTACTGGGCGGATTTGTCAGTTCGTGCGAGACCTTCCGAGTTGCCAAGAAAGCAAGCAAGCAAGCAATCATCGTCTGCTGTCGTTGGCAGCTAGACCGTCATCGGACTTACGTTCGCTTGAGCCCAACAAAGTCTACGATCTGAGAAGGCCACGAAAGCTTCATCGGTCGTGTCCCCAGAAATATCCATCTTCAAACGGGGGAGATCTCGCATTCTGAAGCAAAACAGTAGTGCGTGGCTCGCTGCGCCATGCTCCAGGTGCCCACTTCACCCGAGGAAGCTCATGAGGTCCATCCCACTTCCGCCCTCGGCACCGAAGGATGGCTGTCTCCACAGCCGTCCCGGATCACGAGACAGGTTTACCTTTCGGCTGTCCAGACCAGCGGTTCACGCAATGAGCATTCCCTCTCCGTCGGGAGGAAACAAGAGTTGGCCCGTGTAGAAGATGCCGTCCCCCCCTTCAACCCGGGTTCCTGACATTGGTTCGCGTCTGCATGTCTCTCTCGGAAACGAAACGGTCTGCCATGGAAGAAAGTCAAGTGAGTACCCGTACACCAGTCATCTGATGGTGTCCATAGTCAAGCCTCGACCAGGTTGTCGTCTCAAGCAGAGACTGATGTGTCCGATGAGACGGGATGATGGACGGATGGGTGGTACCGAGACGCGATTACAGGCACCGCCTGACTGCATGAACGTGACCTTGCCGTTTGACGACGACCTGACTTGCGTCCTACGATGGCGTAGCTTACAACTCTACCTATGGCTATACACCTCGCCATCTTACACCTCTATCCAGAGACAGCATACCCGTACTCTGCATTCGCACTCCGTACACCTCAGACCACCACAGGCTCGTGTAGTAAAGGCGTGCGCCGCGTTTTCGCACTCGCTCTTAACCCCGCGTGGGGTGCGCAATAGACAAGCGTGCGCAGTAGGCATAGAGGGAACTCTCGGCGCGGAGCGGAGTTCGCAGACCTGTCCAACCCCGACGGCCGCACAGAGACATATAGAGTGATCCGCCAGACAAGCTCCATCCCGCGGCCATCGATTTTCCGCCCTACCATCCGCTTACCTCAGCTCACCCTAGCTTCGCTCTAATTACCTAGGCTTAGGTTGAGGCAGAGAGGCAGAAGCATTACCGTAAAGTGTAAACCCGCGGGTTTGAGAGCGGCACGGCGCACAGCACAAGGAACCCGGCTCTTCGGGGAGAAGCCAAAGTCCGGGACCAACGCAACCCCTTGGACCCATATTTTAGACGTTCGCCACTCAGATGAGCTCCCCTTCCCGCGGGTCCCGTTTTTTGGACCCCTAAAAGTGATGAAGTCATTAGAGCTTTAGAGGTGTTGATCTTCTTCCCTGGGGTTTGATGAGAGATAATTCCAAGGAGGGCGGGTTCGGACAGCGGGCTAGATTCATTCCATGTTGTGGAACACGGTTGTCCGGCATCAATGGTGGTGTTTTCCCTTCCCTTTCGGCGCCGAGGCCGGAGTGATGCTGTCATGATTTGCGGTGATGAGGCGAAAGAGCGATCGGCGAGGTGGTGTGTGCTAGTGTCGGTGTGTTGGTGTGTGATGGTATCCCTACGGAGAAGACGTTGGGGATCGGGACCGTGGATCGCCGGATTGCTTTCTCGATGAACGGCGATGGAACGGCCATGAGGCTTGACGTAACTTCTCCTCCCGATGAGCTTTGGGATCCATGGCTCTGGGACCCGTCTCGTTAGGGTCGTAAGGGTTCTTTCCAAGGAAGTTTCCGTCATCCCGCCTACTCGGCCGAGTGGCTTGTACTACCGGGACTACGGACACGCTCCTCTTGTAGTACCTAGGTCTGCTTGAGTCCGTCCGGCTCCCCGCAAGTTCCTTACGGAGTTGCAATTTTACGATTGAATAGGTCTCATCGAATCGCTGTCACTAGTACTGTTGACCTGAGAGAATCAACGTCGCAATACGCCTAACCACTGAGCGGAGACTTGTTATCATAAATACATGCATGATGAACGACCGATCAAGGTGTATACGTGGGAATGGCCTATGAAGACGGAGCGTGAACCCTCCCCATTTATTCATTGATTATAGTTGACATTCTAAAGCCGTGCTCCCAGGGGTTAATTGTACAGTGACTGAGGGCCACCGACATGAGTGGGCATATATAAGACTAGCAGTAACATTCAGAGATCTGGCCTGACGGTTATAAATCTATACCGAGAGCTTTCGAGGATAATAAAAGTAACAAGTCTAACGGGTTCATTCCTATGGGAACCAAATGCGTCAGCAGTTATGAAGTAGCCACTAAGCAGCAATCGGGCAGTGGTTATAGTCTGGTTGTGTCGATGTTGGGAATACTGATCGAATATCTTACCCATCAGGATACACTTTGGCTTTCCTTCCCACTTTGACAAGACATAACTCTACGCACAATCTTGAGATGATTTACTCCATGAGTAACCTGCTTTGCTAAGCCTTTCGTCTGCTCAGTTGTTCTCTTTGTCACAGGTAGAGTGAGTACTTTCGTGTCTAAGTCCCAAAGCCTCCTCTTTGATTTCAAAGACAAATCCAGTGGACTTTCGCATAAATGGTGATGGGCATATCAATCCCATTGACCTGGTCCAAATAAGAGTCAAACATCGCCAGAGAGAACGTCTAACGTAGTTAAAGACTACGGATCGACACGCATTCTCTCACGTTAAGCGAGGGCTCGCGGCGTCTTCAACCGTATTGATTTATATGCCCCTAGCCCCCCCCCCCCCCGAGAAGATGGGATCTGAGTGACCTCGACCGGTGCCCGAAGCAAATCTAGACCAGAGAGGTGGACACACCCGCACATATAACAAAGCAGTACACGTTCATCCCGCCCCCTCGCGCTCTCTCACTTAGCTCTCATGAATACGAACGACCGGGAGCGTGAACGACGATGCAGAATACGTATCACTTTAGTTGTTCTCCCATGTAGATGTTTAACACCAACTGAGCTTTATCACTAAAGGCAAGACAACAAGAGAACATTGAGCATTGTCGGACAATGGTTCCCGAATCAACTGATCTGGGGCTCGTGGGGAGTGAACGTCAGCGGAAGGTGACGAGGCTCAATTGCTCTCCTTTGATACCGCTGGTCCCTTGAGTCGGTGAGCCATGTAGTTGGTGGACCGCACCGTTTTTCTCAGGCTTTCTGACACAAACCTATCCCGGGTTGGGCCCAGTATCACTCTAAACCGCTTAAAATGTATTGCTCTTGAGCTGTCATGTTCGCAAGGAGGCTGCTGTTTATCGCGCCGAAGTACATGGGAACTGACTCCACTCAAAGAAGCCAAGCTGTGACTGATAGAACACCACCAACCTCCCAGAGGCCATCTAGGTCATAAGTTCTTGTAGACTTTTGTCTATTGGGTATTATTTTGTCTATCCCACACAAAATCAAACCTACGCCAGGATGCAAATTTTCATTCCAAACAGCAAGTGACTTTTCTTCTCCCTCCACTCTCTCACGCATTGAGCTTCTGCTTTGTCCTCTTCCTCTTGCCACCAACCTCCCTCCCCTCCTCGAGCTCCAACAACGCCTCCCTCTTCTTCTCGCTCACAATCTTGAGCGCGTCCCGCAGCACCCTCGTCTCCAGATTCACCCCTTCCTCCTTCCACGCCTCCATCTCCCTACCCACACGCGCCTCTATCGCCAACACGAGCTCAACGTCCCTCTGCCCGACAAACGTCACCGCCTCGCCTTTACGCCCCGCACGCGCCGTACGACCCACCCTGTGGATATAATCGTCCGGGTTCCGCGGAATGTCGTAGTTGACGACGAGCCCGACCTCGGGGATATCCAGACCTCTAGACGCAACGTCCGTCGCGACGAGGATGCGCGCCGCCGCGGCGCGGAAGCGACCCAGGTTGTCGACGCGCTGGCGCTGCGGGAGGGCCGAGTGCAGCGAGGTGACGCGGTGGTCGAGCATGCGCAGCAGGTGGTGCAGGTAATCTGCCGTCTTTGTGCGGTTGCAGAAGATGATGACGGATTTCTCCTCGTTGCCGTCCGTCAGGAGGAAAGTGTGCAGGTAGTGCTCGCGGTGGGTGACGGGCACCTGGAGGTGCATCTGCGAGAGCGTGGCGGGGATGGCGAGGGCCTGGGTGTCGACCTCGCAGACGAAGACGGGCTGTTTGCCGGGCTTCAGAGGCATGTCTTTGAGGGCGCGGACTTCTGGGGTGATTGTGGCAGTGAACAATAGAGTCTGGCGCTTCGAGGAGGGCGGGAGGACGGAGAGGCACTCTTCCACGTCGGGGATCATGCTGCCCGGGCCGGTGCCGTCGAGGAGGCGGTCGGCCTCGTCGAGGACGACGTATTTGACGCGGCGGAGGCCGCAGATGGTGTCCTCGCCCGAGGTGCGGATGTGGTCGGCCAGACGACCGGGCGTGGCGATGACGACGTGGGGACGTTGCGCGAGGGCGATGGCCTGGGACCGCATGTCGGAGCCGCCGGTGACAAGGATGATCTTGAGGCTCTGCGGGGAGGAGATGGCCTTGAACTGCTCGAATATCTGCAGGGCGAGCTCGCGGGTGGGCGTCAGGACGACGCCGAAGATGGCGGTGGGATCCTCGGCCCATTTCTGGAGGATGGGCACGGCAAAGGCGACCGTTTTACCGGAACCCGTCCTGCTTCCGCCGATGCAGTCCCGCCCCTTGAGGATCTCTGGTATGCAGCCCTTTTGAATGCCCGTCGGTCTCTTGATTGCCATGTTGGCCAGGGACTGTACGAGCCATGGCCGAACGTTGATGGCGGAGAAGGTGGTGTTGGGGTCTGTTGGCGCAGTGATTGCGTTTTGCGACGGCGCTGCTGGGCGTGAGGTCTGGGGAGCTTGGTCGACAGCGGCGGCGGCGCGTTTGAATCTCGAGGGGGCTTGTATGGTAGACACGACAGCCTTGAGTTCCTCCTCCTCGTCTTCATCATCGTTCTCGATATCTTCGAGATCGGGCTCGGCAGTGGGGTCGGTCCTCCGTCTCTTGCGCGAGGCGGGACTGTCGAGGTAGTCGGATTCGGACTCGGAGCCGGAAGAGTTGGCGGGAGAGGATGCCGGGACCTCATCGTTGGCCGCACGGCCCGGTCGTCTGGGGGCTGCAGAAGGCGGCATTGGAAACGACCAATCTCTGTTCTGCTTTATGCCGGTTGTGACGCGATTTGATCGTGGACTTGAGACTTGTAGCATAAAGTTTGTGATGATGATGGACTCGACTGCAGCAGCTGCACCAACGTCTGAGAATTTTCGGGCAAGGGTCCAAAAAGTTTTGGTTGCAAAGTGCCAAAGCTTCGGCGCGGCGGGCAGGTGGGGTAAATGAACCAGGGGGTCTGGCGTGGGGCAGACCAATTGGAATGGAAGGCGGTCAGTACCAGGGCTCCGCATTGAGACGGTAGACGCGCGCCTAGAGAAACGGAGCTACGCAGTTACAGTACCTTAGTGAGTGACCTTAGTGAGTGACCGGGGACTCAAACGGCGCGAGTGACGGGGCAAATTGGCCAGTAAGAGAGCAGCAGGCGAGAAGACGCATTTGAGCCTACAAAGTTGAGGTATCATCCATCATGCAGCGAGAAAAACAAAAGCCCGGCTCCCTGATAATAAGGTAGGGAGCATACGAAAGATCCGAGGAGACTCCTACTAGCCTTAGGTGTAACGATGCAACTTTCTGCGCTACGACACAAACTTTGGTGGTGATACCAGATGAATTCGTCGACTGTAAAGGTAATCGACAGGGGCGGCAGATGGTGAGTGTGTGAGCCTGAATTTAATGAGAATGTGTAAATATCAGAATCCAAACTACGTGAACTGGACACGGTCAAACTTCACTCATCTGTCATCTCTTGACTGCATATTTCATCCGTAGGCAACGACAACTTCCACCCTTTGACTCAGCCATCTGTGCGTCGGCCAGAGGGAAAGAAAGCATAAATCCATCGCCTTTCCAAGACGAGTCGAGCCGATGTTGGAGTGTCTAGCCAGGACCATGCTCGATGCAAAAGAGCCACAAAAGCCCAGAAACTTTCAGGGCTGAGGCTGATGACAGCATAACGTTGCTTCCCGCCCAGGGATAGGGCCAGCATAGACGCAGTTTCCGCCTTGTGCCCCTTGGCGGGATCCAGGGATCTGTTCCTGGAACGAATGCAGATGCTGGTGCATGAGCAGGAGCAGGAGCCTCGGACACCGACGAGCAGAAGTCAAGCTGACACTCGCCCGCTTTGCTTTCTCCGTGTCTGCGTTATGGTCTGTCGGATGAATAATCCGATTCTGACGGGCTCTGAATGTGAAGAATGCCCACGGAGAACACAGTGAGGGGTTGAAAAGCCAAATCGAAGCCGGATGCCGTTTCCTGGCTGTCAGAAGCATAGAGGCCAACTGCACCGACAAACCAACCCAAGAAGATGGACTCGGATGATTTGGATTTCTCCCTCTCGGACGTGCCCGTCTGACATACCGCTGGTTCTGACTTGACCTCACAGCTGGGACCCAATAGTCCGGATTTGACAGACGAACAGTCATAGCCGGACAACGTCAGCAGAACTTACGCCGTCAGCCCGCTTTCAAGTTCTGCTTCCATTTTATTTCACTCTCTTGTCGGGTATTCGAGAGGTGCGACTAGTCAGGCACGCCGCACGCGTTCCAGGCTGGTAAAGTGGGCATCGGAAATCCCCCGACCAAGACGATGCAACTACGATACACCACGTAAGTGTTTTGGGGCAGGGCCTTGAAAAACCGGGCCTTCGTCTGATCAGGGTCCAGGTCTAGCGGTGCGGATAATGCGGTGAGGCCTCGAATCCGTGGCCCGTCAAACACCACAGTCATCACCTTAACCGCTTGTCGGCTCATCGCCGTCGTCGGACCGGCCACAAGGTAGGATGGTGAGAAAGAGGCAATAACCGAACAAAACTCTTCCCGTGATTCGGACCCCAATGGTCGTGCGTGCTGCTTGTCTGCAAATGCTTTTCCCCTCATCGGGGAACCATCCCATTCGTGCCGCATCGCCGGTGGAAGAGGCACAGCAATAAGAACGGCATGTCTGCAACCACCAGTTCGCCGCCTAGGACTGCAATCAGCTGACTAGAATTGCTCAAACTGACTGCGATGCCGACGCTGTTGGGTCGCAATGCCAAAAGATTTGGAAGCCGTGGCAGATGTGCCGTGTTAACAGTGTGCCATATGCAGGAGCCATATTCAACAGCAGGTGCCGAAAAGAGCTCCGTGTGCTGCCCCCGTTTCTTCTTCTTCTTTCCTTCAGATGCTGCCGCCGGAAAAGCCCCCCATTTCAGCCAAAACGGCGCTGTCAAATGGCTTATGCGAGTTTCATCGACATACCGAACTCTTGTGTAGGAATTGGACGGATGGAGATTGGTTGCCGAAAGCCCGCATTAATCTGTTCTTTGATCCTGCAGTCATGTAGGGGAAACCGCGGGGATGGTGTGAGGATGTGAATGTGACGGGATGAGTGTCGTTGGCCCAGTATTCCCGCCAGCTATTGGCCCGAGACCAGCTTAGGATTCATGGTCAACCGAGGGGTTGTCGGATACCTGGAGAGAAAAGCAACGGCCAATCCCGCGGAGAGAGCCAGTAGAGCAATGGATAGGGCCCGACAGTTTCCCAAATTCGTCAAACAATTGCGTCCCACCCATCTGTCAGTCCATCGCCTGGAAGGACAGAAGAGTCAGGTTGCATCGGGGACGTCTCCCGGATTGTGCATCTCGAGCTCATGCAGAAGACGGTCGGAAATCAGTGCAGGGCCCAGCTTGGTGCGTGCGACGGTGCGACGTGCGGCGTGCGGCATGCCCACGATGGCACGAAGAGATGCTTGGTGCTTGGCCGGGGAGGGGCCAAGAGGGGGGAGCAACCCGCAAGGAGCGATTGCAGGGCAGGGCATCGAATGGCAGCCCAAGACATGGACGACACACCACCAACGACAGCGCAACCCCTGTCTCATCTCTCATGCCCCCCATGGCTCTGGACGCCCTCTCAAACTTCGTCGCCGTACGGATGTGTGTAACTGGTCAGGCGTCTGCCTATTGTCCATTGTGCAGCGCCAGGAAATGGGCGTTCCGAGTGGGCAGAGCTGCTCTCTGTGGTGACGGTTGGAAGCCCACTCATCACACCGTGCTTTGTGCTGGAGACCGTGACTGTTTGGAGGTGGTGTACTGTGTCGGGTTTGGTTGTGTTGGGCGGTGACGAGGTGTATACATTTCTTGATTCTTGGTCAAACACGCGTCCTGATGACGGGTGCCTTGTAACGGTCGATTCGGAACAGCGGCATTGGCTTTGTCTTCCGCCAAACAGTCCTTATTCGAGGATTGTGCGGATAAACATAGGCGCACAGAAGCGAGTTGACGATGACTGACTCTTGTGAAGTGGATTGGACAGCCTTGAAGTTGTATCGGCAGAGGCGTACAAACGGAGACCGTTGTCGTCTCCAACCCGATTCAGATTCTAGAAGTCCAGACCCCAGGGCCGATTCTCATGCTAGAAGATACCCAACTGGGGAGGCCAGAACCTCAGACGACGCTAGGGACTCCGGTAATGTGGCGCGTTTTTCTGCCCCAAGACGCTTGAAGGGTTTAAAAGAAGCGACCGAGCGCATTTTGGTTTTCGGCGCAGCTTCGATTGATGTGCTGATTGACTTTTTTGTCGTTGTCGGTGCTGTTCTGTCGTTCGTGTAGGTGCAAGATGAGGCAAGACGGATGGAAGAATGTGATGTAAGGCGGGCAGTACTTATCACAGGTACCTTAGTAAGGCAAGCTGTACTTACCTACCTACCTTGGGAGGGTAGATTCGCTACCAGGAGGTGAGGTGGTTTACAGTATCGAAAAGGTACACGAGCAGGAAGGCTCAAGCCCGGCTACTCTGTGTAGCTATCCCGCAGTGTGCACCGCAAGTCGAGTGCGCCACCCCGAAAAGATACATTGGCTCCATTACGTGGGCCTTGTACCTCCTCCCATCTCGATACCTTGCCTTTACCTCCACCTACCTTACCTTACCTCAGGGCAGTCACCCAGTGCATTCATTCATCAGGCCCTGAAAAGGCCCCCAGTTTACCCAGAGCGCCCCCTCCCCGTTTTCCATTGGAACTTGGCCTTGGAATTAGCGCCCAAGCTCGTCCCCGTCCCGCCGCTCCCCGCCTTTTTTGCCCACTTGAATCCCACTCCATTCACTCACTTTCCTGTCGTCTTTCTCAAAAGGAACCAAGGTCCAAGGGCTCGCCCGTCGCCACTGCGTCGTTGTCGTCTGCTCTTGCATTGCTCCCCTCTCTCTCTCCGGTCTGCTCAAATCTCAAAGCCGGTCTCTTCATCCCGGAGAGAAACAGCAGGAAACCTCCTTCTTCCGTCCCCCGGTTCCGATACAGACCAGGAACTATCACCTCGACCCATATCGCCTCTGCTCATCTTACCTTGGATACCGGGACGTCACCCGCGCACCCCAAATCTTCTCTCTCTCTCCCACCTCAATATCCATCTCCTGAGTCCTGCGGGGAAAGCTATCCGTCGACGTTTTACTTTCCAGTCTCTCGCTTCCAAGTCTTCTGATCTTCAATAAAACGCCCCCGATAGTCTTATTTTTTACTCAGCCTCGAACCAGAGGATCAAACGCTCGACGGCGGTCGCTCTCCAACTTGATCAACGCTACGTCAGCTCCTTCTACGAAACTATTCGAACACGCTAGTTTCTGGTTTTCTGCCTGTGCCCACCGCCGCAGCCGTCACACCTCGACCTACCTCGTCAAGTAGTTTGGCTCGGCTTCGGCCCTTTTTTTGCGACTTTGTGGCATCCTGCGTCTGGGTACATCTCTCTCCAGCTTCAACTGCATCGTTCCGGTCTACCCAACGTACCTTCGTTGCCATGGCCGATCAGAATCCCTCACAACCTCAGACCATGGAGCCTCCTCACCAGGTAAGCATGCTCGCATGATGAGCTCTCGAGATGGCCTCTATCGCGAACTGTACTGATTGTTTCACATAGGCACCGCCCAGTGTCCCCTCTCCTCTGTCCACACCCGGTTCCGTCCCCATGATGAACTCGCCAGTTCCTCTCCTTCGCCCTGCCATTCCCGGTGGCCGAGGCGGAGGTGCCCGAACACCTAGACTCGGTCTCGCCATTCCC